GGTGGTAGTGAAATGATGTGGACAACGGTATTGTATACAAGCAGGACGGATTTGGTTTATATTCGAAGGACTTTGACGACACAACGATACTCTAAAGATGTCCTACCTGCTCATGTCTTTCTAATAATGCAGCATCCTGGAGTGGTATTTCATTTTGACAATACACAGCTTCCTACAACTCGTTTAACAGGTGCATCCGTGCCTTGACCATCTAAACAGCCAGATTTATACACCATTGATCATGCATTGCACAAAATGGATAAGCATACCCAAAAGACAACCGCATCCCCAGACTCTGCAACAGCTGACCCAAGCTCTACACGTAGAGTGGGTTAGCATTCCTGTACAGTTTTGAATACACTAACTTGCGTCCACTGGGATGAAGTTTTAGGCTATCATTGGTGTTTGTGGGGAGGGGGGGGGGGGGCATACAAGATAGTGATCTTAAATGACCTTGATCTGTGTACGATTGAAAAAATCTTAAACAGTTATGACAATTTGATTTTAGACCTATTATTTACCACATTTCTTTCTTATTAATACATCATTCTACTAAGTATTCATAATATCTGAATGAATCACTAAAATTCTAAGATGCGTTTCTTTTTTTGAAGAATATATTAAGTGGTGGTGGTGGTGGTTCCACATTTCTAGAGGAGTCCAAAATCATTTTTTATTTCAGAATATTCTTTTAATAACTCTGCAAATTCCAGGGGTGGGGGTCCGGACCCCTCGACTCCCCTCTATTTCCGAGCAGGGTTTGGCCTATGACAAAAACATTTCTTATTGTGCACGCGTGTGCTGAAAACATATAAAAGTTACCATGGTCTCTTTCCGAAGAAATATAGTGCGTAACCGAGGATTTTGATATTATCTTTGAGAAAGATAATCTGATTATATTCTTTACCTTGGCATGCTCCAATACGAGTTTCACGCAATAATTAACAGTCACTTGACTTTAATTAACATGGGCGAGAAAAAAAAAGATGTGATTAGATATATACAATGTAGAGGATATTCAATTATTTGTAGTTGGATATTGAATTTATTTCACGAGAGGGATAGAATTTATTAAAAAATATTTTTTCTTGAGTACGAAATGTCTTACGAGTGAAATAAATTTGACATCCCACTATAAAACATTGAATTTTCTGTTTATTACATTTTCTTTGCTTGTCTTTTTGTTCCAATCTCCCTTGCAGAGTTGTCGTTCATTCCTCTCCCAGACACCTCTGCAAATGGGCTTGCGTCATGATTTTTGACACCAAAGTAAAAAATGTAATATTCAAAGGATTAATAACAAATTAAGCCAATAGTCCTAGATCTATTTAGTAAATATCTACCATAAAGGACAAATATTAGCACAGACAATTAATTATAATGAATTGAAACAAACGCACTTTTCTCGTGCTTATCACTGTGATATACGCGAGCCAGGCACATTTTCGGCTTTGAAATGCATTCACGCATACACCGTGTATATCCCAACATGCGGGGTTTACATAATGTATACTATGTTGTGCGCAGGGTTTATGCTGCTTCGATGAAAGGGGTCGAGGTATGTTTTTGTCCAATTTCTCAATTTATGGATATACATTATGTACGAGGGGTGATAAAAAAGTTCGCGAACTAATTGAATTACTTTCTTAAAAGAAATGAAATGAGGTTTCAGTGTTCATTATTATTTTTTAAAGTAGCCACGGTCTTCTCCGATTTTAATGCACATCTGCCATTGTTCTGTCCATGCGCGAACCACGTGATCCAGACGGTCACGTGACATGCTCCCTAGCGGTCTGTTCACATATAAGCTACAAGATTTTTCCGAGTCTTATGTTTCTTACCATGCTTATTTTTATAACAAGAACTGTCCATCTGTCAGAAATGGCCAAATATCGGCAATAGGATGGGTGGATAAGAATATCTTTTCCCAGAATATAGCATGGTGACCATCACAACCCGAGTCCTCTGTCTCGGGAGCGTCGTTTATCGAATGTGGATAAAGTATGGGTGCCTTCTTTTTTTCATATCTCATATGTTTAAAGTCTAAAGTAAACGATATTTTATGGATTTAATAATTATATTATTGTTGAGATATTCAACTATTTTCCTAATTGTAACTTGGCGATCTTTCATCACAAATTGCTCAACTAAGTACACATCTTTTCCTTGGCTTGCTTTCGTTGGGCAAGAGAACAAATATCATTTTTAACCATCTCCCTGCTTTCACTGAAACAATCAATCCAATTAATGATTGAACTTCTTGTAAGTCTTGTATTCTACTGCAAAGGAATTTCCAAGATATACATTAAACTTTACAGCCGTTCGTTGCTCGAGTACGACTGAGTCAACCATTTTCTGTCACAAATCATCTACATATTGCCGTCATTTTCACATTGTGACGTCACAAACACGGAGCAAAACATTATATAACATCTGCTATTTATAGAACATGTGTATGACTATATATGTGTGTAAAATTTCATTCTGATCTGAATTGTGGCTTTGTAAATATAGAGATAGTTCGCGAACTTTTTGATCACCCCTCTTATTTCGCCGGAAAGCATATGCCTACGGAAGAAAACGTTATCCAAGGAGTCAATGGATACTTATGAATCCACTGTACACTTTCTAGTTTTATCAATTCCGAGGATCGGAACAAGATTGACGCTACATTGTGTTTATGATCAATCATCAGAATAAAGCTTCGCTTTATCATCACTTTCATATTACTGTTAAATACATGTTATTTATATAAATGTATGTATTAATTGTCTGTAAATAAAACAGTTCGTATTTAAAGTTAAAACATGATTGTGACGTAAACCTTTTGTTTGTATTGTCCATTCTATAGCTTAATGGTGAGCTAACTCCTCAAACAATCCATTAAGTTACCTGTAACTGTCCATTCTTTTTGGAAAACTGTCCATTCTTTTAAGAATGGACAGTTTTTTTTTTCCAAAAAGAATGGACAGTTAAAACAAAGAGAATGGAGAGTTACAGGAAAACTTTGGAATGTGTTCAAGAGGGAAACAAAAACAAATATACTAAATACTTTTTAATTTACATGTAAATAACAAAAAGAACGTGGAGACCAAAGTTATTCCAGAACACAATGTCTACACAGCATCCACTCGATTTTACTCTTTTAAATCCATGAATGATGCACATTATTTCAATACCCAAAACTTAATTTTCACAGAACTTGAATTCAAATGACACAATTTCGAATTCACATTTGATTTAAATTTCGGAAAAATCATTCCCTCGAGGAGAATTCATTTTCAGATAGAAGTACGTCTAGTATTAAATCCTCCACCCAGAAAACAGTTTGCACCATGAACACTACACTGCTGCAGTTAATATTTCGGTTGAAAATAAATAAAAATGAAACATTTCCCGATTTGATTTGAAAAACATTTCAGGTCGAAGATTGGCTCATGGCTAATCCAGCACTCAGAACACAATTTGCATCTCACCATTACACTGCTGCAGTTAATATATCCTCAAAAATAGAATTCAAATAAAACATTTCCAGGTTTGATTTGAATTTGATCATCTATATCTGTCGTCGAAGTTCATTTTTGGGTGAAAATTTGGCTAATATTTCTTTTAATCTTCCTTTTCTGTTTCCAGATCCAAATATCACTAATTTTGTGCATATTTTGGTTTATAAGATTTTGATTCTGTCATATACTCTCTCCATTACAGGAAAACATGTATGCCTTTACAACACAAACTGTAAACTGATTTTGAAGCATCGCATACTTGTATAAATACTAGTATCCCACAAAATTCACCTGTAACTGTCCATTCTTAAGACAAAAACCTTTCGTTATTTGCATCTGGAAACACAATGGCTATTCAACAAATTGCTCTGCATCCCTAGCTTACCTGTGACTGTCCATTCCGTAAACAATGAACTTGCCATTGTATGTCTGCTACCTGTCATTTTGTACATTTTATAGTTAATTTTCAAAACAAATGAAATCATGTTTTAAGTAGGAGAAAGGCCTCAAACTGTCCATTCTGTGAGAGAAAGAACTAATCGAGGGCCGTAGTTTACATATTGACGAAAAATCGATGCTGTACTCGAGATATATGCCCCTGTTGTGGTCCCTCTCTACTCCTTGGGGGGGGGGGGGGTGATTTGAACAAAACTGAATCTACATGTACGTATACACATGAGGATGCTTTCATATAAATGACTGATCATGGCTTTGCTGTTCTTGGGAATGAGATTTTTCCTATGTAGGTATTCCTTTTTAAAACCTTGATGACCCATTGTCGCCCCACCATAGCACCCCAACTCCCATCCCCCAGGGTCATGATTTTAACAAACTTGATTTTACATGCACATTATCTGAAGATACTTCCATATAACAGTGTATAAATATAACCAATTCATGGCTTTGCTTTTCTTGAGATTTTCTATGCATTTCTATATACCGGGGTATGTAAAACTTTGATTGCCCATAGTGGCCAGACTCTACACCTAGGGATCATGAGTTGAACAAATTTGATTCTACACTGAGGATGACTCCAAATAAATATGACTAATCAAGGCTTTGCTGTCCTTGAGAAGATTTTGAAAGATTTTTTTTATGTATTTCTACATGTATGCATAACTTTGATCGCACATTGTGGTCTAACTCTACCCCTTGGGGTTTTGATTTGAGCATGAACTTGAATCTACACTACCTGAGGATGAGTTTCATATTTTCTGGCCCAGTGGTTCTTGAGAAGAAGATTTTTAAAAGATATGCCATTATTCATTGAATTTCACCAATTCATGATCATCTCCCCTTGGAAGAAGGTGTTGCCCTTCATTTGAACAAACTTGAATTCATTTTACCCAAGCATACTTTGTGGGAAGTTTGAAATTGGCCCAGTGTGACAGGTTTACAGACAGATGGATGCCAGACAAAATGTGATCAGAAGAGCTCACTTTAGCCTTTGGCTCAGGTGGGTTAAAAATAAGTAAATAAATGAACTACAGTATGTAACTATGTATATCTGTAATTTTTATTTTCAAACAAAAGTGTAAAATAAAAGCACGCCATGTATTTCTATACTCAGCAAATCTCCAATAAGCAGACTTTATGAATTAATTTATCCATGTTTACTACCCAAAACAAAATGTTTTAAAATGTAAAAAATGCAATGAATTTATCATCTGAAGAAAAATGTAAATATGCACAGTCTAAGCATGTGTAGGATATTTACAAATAGTTGAAAAAAAAAAAAGAAACCTGTAACAGTGATGAGGAAATGTGTGAAATGTAAAAGGATATAAATTTTAACTTAAATTGCTTTTGGAATTGGTCTTTTACACAAGAAAAAATTATATTTAAAGCAGTTCTTGCATTTTGTATATTACTTTGTATCAAGGGACACAAAACCTACACAACTACATTATTTTATATTCCTCACCACATTAAAGATTTGATTACAGCAACCTCTCAGTTCCCATATTTGACCAAATTCTGGGTAATTCTTTGAAATTCAAATAATATAAATCAAATCAATTTTAATGCTAATTTATAAAGAAGGTGAGATTTCCCCCTATACAATATTGAATGTATAGAAATACAATCTACTGGTAGAACCAGACAAGTGCTAATGCACTTATTTTTTAAAAAACATCCTCAATAATTCATTCAGGTGCAAGTGCAAAATATCATTTCTCATTCTTCAGTTTATGTGTATATTTATATTACACAGGTACATGCAATGCATTTAGATTCTGGAACAGACGCTGCCTAGCACAATGGTTTTTAAATTGTCTCGAAAGTTCATTCTTCATAATTCATGAAAACAGTGAAACATTTTTACTTTTTTCAATTCAAAATTTTAACAGTATCACAGCAATACTCATAAGGGCACCTTGATTCATGTCTTACAAAACTGACATACAAGTGAAGCACTCTATGTTGGAACCTTTTATGACTGTGCCACTCTCTGACCAGGAACAGATTTCTCCCTCAGAGTCTGAGATTCCTTCTTAAGAACATTCAGCAAGGTCTGAGAACTTTCAAGTATCTAAAAATAAAAAAATACATTGACATCACTTTTTCTCTAAATGCAGAAAAAAAGATGAAAAAAAAACTCTAAGTCAAGTACTTGTAATTGCATAAAACTGAATAACTTGTTTCCATGACATGAGTTATGATGTACGTCATATTAAAACAGAAAACAAAAAAAGTCCAAAATGCATGTACCATTAAACTCTGGAATCTTGAACACTGATATATTGAATACCATGGCTATATTGAAGTGAGTTGGATGTCCAAACCAATTGACAACCATACACATACTGCTATGTTGGCTTAAAATAGCCATGTGCAATGAAATTGACATTGGATAATCTTAAAGTATCATTACTGATTGTATGAATTAATGAATTATTTAACTAAAAATGTACAGAAAAATAACCAGTAATTGAATAGAAGTGTAAATATTATACAATTATGTACTCTTCCGGTGGTGAATTTGGTTTGTTATTCACCAGAAAAATGCCGAGGTCAATATTGATATTTTTCTGGTGAATAACAAACCATATTCACCACCAAAAGAGTCCATAATTGTTTTATTATATAGTCAGGCTTTGAATAAATAAGACATCGAAGTCTGCATGACGATAGCATTTTCAATAACGAACTTCTGTCATCGAAAAATTTTTAAAAAGTCCAGATTACACCTTATCACTTCGTTTTGCTGTGTGTAAGTCATCGAAATGTTTGGAAAATAATTCTGCGATAGACTTGCCCAACATTTTTCCTGTTCAGATACACAGCTGGCTCTGGCCGTTGCAACCATTGTTTTCAACGTTGTTTGAGGTATTGATTGTGACTTCACAATGCAGCTGCACGCGCACTCACCTTCCAGTGAATACTAGTGATGGGACATCGGTTAATTTTCACAATCGATCATCGGTTGGAATCGGTTAATGCTTCCGATGCGATTTTACCGATTATACACGGATGTCATAGTTTTGTATATAAAAAGCAGACTATTACAATTATTTCATATTTTTTCTTTAACATGAATATATAAAATATATAATATATTGTTTTCTTTGTTTTTTTGCTTCTTTTACACTTTCTATATATGCACCTTTAGGTTCTTAATCACCTCTGCTTCGTGCTAGTTGGCTAGTATCAGATGCAGATGCCATTTTCTTTCATTAAGAAGAAATAAATTTTAAACCAGAAGTGGATAATTCCTGAATGTATTTTATTAGAGGTATGTTTCCGATGATCAAATATGAAAAATTATAATCGATCATCGGAATCGGTAGCATTTTTTCGTCGACAATCGATGTTTTCTGATTATCGATACAACACTAGTGAATAAGGCCTCAGATCCAGTGAATATGTAGTATTATGAACTGTTTGCGTTTGTATAGATTATATAGGGACTATTTATAGACTATATAATAAAACCTCATAAATACAGAAAAATGACATCTCAATAGTTGAACCTTAAATCAAAGGACAAGGTATGGTAACAGCCGAATCTGGCCCCTTATTTGATGTAAAAATCAGAACAGTTAAAATTGTGATAGTTTGTAGTTAAGAACTTAAAAAAGTTGATTCTAATTTTGATTCAAAGCTTGCATGGAGGCCACAGGGGGATGCAGAAGTAGGACATTATCCCGAATTTCCTCAATTCTGGTAAAATTTCATCCAATTTGAGATACTTTTCACTTCGGGAAACATAGAGCACAAGCTTGCCTATCTGAGATTTTTACACATAAGATGCATCTGATACTAGTGTATGAAATATATAAATTTGGTAGATAGGCAAGCTTGTGCCCTATGTTTTCTAAAACAAAATGTGCTGTAAAATTGATGAAAATTTGCATAAAATTGAGAAAATTTGGAAATTGACATATTTTCTGACCTTCCTGTGACCTTTGTCAGGGGTAACAAAAGGTTTTTATTGTTGCATCATTCTAAAAGACACCCCAAACCAGGGGCCAAAAAGGGGTCTTTGCCGATCTTGTCCTTTAGTGAATCTATAACACATAATTATCAAATACACTAAAAGCAAATTACCTTCATGTATGCTGACTCTGTTTCAGCAATGGTTTTATCAAAATCATTACGAGAAGCCATCTTCTTGCTTAAACTTTCATTCACTTTAGCTAATCTCTCTGTGAGTATTCTAATGTCATTTTGTAGCTTCTGTTTCTCTTCCTCTTCTTGAAGTATTTGTTTGTGCAGTTCATCCCTCTTGCTACAAAGATCGTTGATACCTACCAAAACACGTACATGCAATGGTTAAATTGTTACTGCATGCAGTTTCTTCATTTATATAATTTACAATTTTGCATCAAAATTCATTCTATAGCTGAGAGAGAGAGAGAGAGAGAGTTAAAGAGCTGAAATGAATACCAAAAATCACTATTCGAATATATTCGTAACAACTATTCTATTCATATTCAAATATTCTTTGATGTTATATTTAAAGTATATCTATTTGTATACATATATATATATAAATAATATAATTTATATTGATAGAGTTACTTGATGTTAAACTGAAAATTGTTTAAGGTTAGCATGAAGCTTTTTCTTAGAGCAAATGGAAAACTGAACATTTACAAAAAGATTTTAATTTCTCTTTTTAAAGTATGAAATTGCCATCAGTGTCATGTTTGTTAAAATAAATTCCCATGTCAGTCTCATTTTCACAAGCATTTTAAAAGATAAAAATTGCTACACAGTATAGCCGTACCAATAACAGATTTGAATTTTAGAACTGTAAGAAAAACATTTTTGAGAAAGAAGCTGAAAGAATCTTTTTCAGAAATAAAGACAATATTTCTTTTCCCAGTGGTGCGGATCTTGCCCTAGCCTATTGACTGGAAAGACCTTTTTATGACCGAAGATTAAAAATTTGCCCACAAGGTGGTAGAAAAAATGGATATATTTCCGCACTTAAATAGGAAACTCTCTAACATGCTACAATTTATAAAATTTTATCCATGGAAAATACAAAAAAAGTCTTAACAGTTTGATAATAAGAATGCCACATGCTATAGAAAAAGGAAAGTCCATGTGCGTTATACACGTACATGTATTCATGTTACATATTGCTGAACATGAGCTACCAAGAACATGAGCTACTAAAATGACACTCATTTCATAGATCAGTTTCTAAACATACATGTTTCAATAATTAGATTTTTCTTTTTAAAAGAACACATACAAACAGTATTCATTTACACGATTTAGTAAAATTCATGATAGAATGGCTGGGCAATGCATACGATCGGTGATGAAACTGCAGGTAGACATGAATAAAACTCCATTAGAAAATGAAATATATCCTGAGCATATATATTCAAAGAGATTTACACCCGAGAAAAATTATTTGGATTTTTGTTTAAATTTCTAATCATATTTTCGTTACTCTCTAACAATATTTATAAAATGTGACATTTTAGAATAAAATACGCAAATGAATATTCAAAAAATAAATTTCCATTCCAATATTCGCCATTTATTAAAAGCTAATAAATAGTCTATAATGGAAAACTACTAAGTCTAGAGAATTTTAGCATTCAATATCTTGGCGTTTTATTGAATGCTAAGTTTGTATTACATAAATGAGTATGCCCAAAACATTCCAATTACAAGCGTTCAATATCGAACGCCCCGTTGTAGACAAATACAAAGGTTTTTGCTCGTGCACCAAGACAAAAACAAATGTTTGATTAAATTTAAACCTTGCTCAATCCAGAAAAAATCTTCAAAGTCTTGGGAAAATTGGGGAAAGTTTTTTATTTAATGATAAAAATTTGACATATAAACCATGTAAATAAAACCACAAAATAAGGATTAATATGCTGTTTATCTCCACCTCCTCACCAATTCTCTATTGGAGTCGGTGCACTCCATCTAGTATTACATAATGGAATCCCAAAATGCAATGCACATTGGCAGGAAATACAAAACTCCCAAGAAATCAATGTCCAAGTAGGATATAAAAATTACTTATTTTAGTTATTATTAAAAAAAAAATTTGTGTGTGTAAAATAACTTATTTAAGTTATTTTTCTGACAATTTGTTTGAGTTATACCCCGGACTGATAACGCTTGGTAGGGTCATTGGAATGATGGGATGTTGAACACTTACAGGACGAAGTTAATTTAAATACCGATACTGAAAAATTCTTATTAATTTGAGTTATTTAATTGAAATAATTAATATAAATCAATGAGAGATGTTTTCGCTATATATTAAAAGAATTACTGAACTTATATCAATTGGTGAATATTGGCACTCGTTGGCTGTACAAATGCACTCGCAAGCTCGTGTACAGCCAACGAGTGCCAATATTCACCAATATAAGTTCAATAACCCTATATTACTATTCATTCGTGAATATTGTTTCAGCTCTAGAAAATTTTCAATTGAATATTGGTCCCATGAATAATTATTTAGTTCCATAGCTAATTTTGATCAGTTCCACTTGATCTTCATGAAGTTTATATCTTTACAAGGTAGGGACAAGTGGTTTCTATTTTCCCGAGATATGAAAGTTCGAGGAAAAATCTAGTTTCGTTTTTGCATGCTTTTTCGAAAAGAACGATTTCCTCTAATGAAAAAATCCATACAGAGTGTGAGATGCGTGTGGCAATTCCAGGATCTTAAACATATTCGTTGTTTTTTTCACATATATATAAAAATTTATATTAATTTCATTAGATTTAGTTTTAATGTGTTTGACCTACATATGACTATAAAAGCATTTTCTAAAAATGACATTTGAAATAAATGAAAACAAATCCAAGACTTCTAAAATATATAGTGTGAATTTCACTATAATCAAATAAAACTGTAAAAATTGATTTTAAAAACTTACATTTTACAAGTTCATTATTGTAACTTTGTAAGGCAGCTCCCTGTTGCGACATTTTAAATGATATTTAATGCCGCTTCGTCTGGACTTGCACTAATGGTTGACAATAACAACGTTTGTGTATTGCGTCACATTTTTCTGTGTAGAGGAGTAACTGTTAAGTCCAACAAAACGATAACATTTTTTCCGGATAGCATTGTCAAGCAAAACAGTGTGGTGGTGGTTAAAAAAAAAAGATTAAAATAGGTTTTGCTCCCATACCTTACAGAATGAAAAATATGTCCTATCCTCATTTTTTGTGGAAAACTTCCTCAAATATATTAAATAATATTCATACAAATACATTACAATTAAATCTTTTCCCCTTAATAAGCATCGGTCATCTAGATGGGAAGTGTAGATGGCTTCTACTTGTAGGGAAGAGTCCATACAGGACTAAATGTTTGGGAATTTTAAATGTGATTTTGATAACACACAGCCTGAAAGTTTATAAAAAGTTAAATGAAGAATATAAAATATGAACCATATTTCCTTTTAAAGTTGCAGAGATATGAGGGATACCTCTGAGCATTTGGGGAAAAACCAAGAATCCCTAAAACTACTGATTTAGAAAAAAAAAATTCTGCAGCTGTTTATATAAGACGGAATTTCATAGAAAGCATCTATTATCATGTTAAGGTCAGTCAATCGATATTAATCATTTGGTGTGTTCTCTTAATTAACCATAACTTTTTAGGTCACCTGAGTCACTCAGGTGACCTCAGTATTGCTATCCGTTTTTGTCCGTCATCGTGCGTCGTGCGATGTGCGTTAAGATTTGAACATTTTCAGCTTCTTCTCTGAAACCGCTCAACCAATTTCAACCAAATTTGGCATAAAGCATGGGTGAAGGGGAACAAAAATTGTGAATTTCATGGTCCCTTCCCCCCTGGGGCCTGAGTGGTGGGACGGGTGCTAGTCACTTCGCCCCAAAACCAGAACGCCCCATGCATGAGCGCCCCAAACATTTTTACCGGCGCCCAAGTGCAAATATGAGCGCCCCAAATTTAAATCACGAGCGCCCCAAACTTAATTCACGAGCGCCCCAAATTAGCATTTCGAGCGCCCCAAATAATAGTATCGTCTGATCTAACACATGTACACAGGTGCTCTTTATGTGAAAATTTTATACATAGGTACTTCATCAGTTATATTTTATTTTTGAATATTTCATTTGAATCTATTTTGAAATTGACTTATATTTAGTTGCATACAACTGTACAAAGTATTCTTTTGTTTGACTTTCCTTCTTCAAAGAACACTTGTGTAATATTCTTTTAAATTATCAACTTTTAATTATTTGTGTAATTAAAAACGATAGTTTCAAAGTCTGAGCACCGCCGTTATCCCACATAAAGGAGCCTGCTCAATTATAATCTCATAATTATTTTTTACCACATTGTGATGAAAAAAAATTTGTCGACTGACTGTTCATTTCTTTTGGATCGTTTGAGAGATGGAGAAGTGTCTTCAATGCAAGAAAGTGGTAAGTCCATTTTTATAAATAATTCAACAGTGTTCAATATGTGTTGCTTTATCATTTTATTGTTAAAAACTTGTTTCAGTATGAACCTATATATGATTCCGAGATATATGAAGTACTGTCTAGCACGTTTTAACTTTTTTTTTTATCTCAGTTCTAATTAGGTATATACATGTAATTAACTTATGTTTTTAAGTACATCGTGACAAAATCTTAATTTATATATTAAAGAAGTTCCTTGTCGGTTTTATATAATTTTTTGATAAATCAAATGTATCCAATATTAGATATCCTACAGTAATAGCCTATTTATTTTTTTCCTATTGAAGAATTTTTTATCGAATTAATATATCAAGAAATTTGAATTTATTTGGCGATAAAACATGTAAAATTTTGGACAAATAAAACATTTTAAAGTCTTACAAATTGTAAGAGTTGCTTGCCCAAATTTGCGTTGTGATGCCTATTATGCACTGTATAGGAAATTTTTTTAATATATGGAATAGCTTAGTATTTATGTATGTATTTTCATTCATATTGTTTTGTTTATTGCTTTAAATGTATTCATTTTAAACTACATTTATGATTCATCTGTGTAAACATGATTGATATAATTCACATGGAAAGGTTGTTTAAGTGTTAAAAATGTCGCTGAAAGACCAGGTTTATGGTGTATATTTGTTGAATTGGTCTAAAATGATGTGGATGTCTGAAATTATGTTTACTGTGTATACACAGACTGCTAATCCCACTAGGATTAAGTTCTTGATCTAGTCACAGGTGTGTAATATAATGTATTAGGTATTACATAATCAGTACACGACAATCAATGATGAGATTTATAATAAATGACTTTCTTTATATGGATAGATGGGTTCAATACATGTGCATAATTCTTTCTTAAACAATTGGTACTTTGAAAAGTATCAAAGTTTTTATTGATAGTTGTAGCCGTGTATGGTGATAACCTCGTAAGTTGTTAGAACTTGTGTTCAAACCATTAAAATACTATTTATACAAGAAAAATATGTTCAGACTAGTGATGATATAGCTGCAGATCTGCACCTTATAAGTGATGATAGGGAGAGAGATGCAGCGAAGAACAAAAAAAAAAAAAGACACCTGTACAATAATTTTATTATTTAAATTGGCGTCTTATCATTATACACATAGATTTATTTTCTTCGAACACTGAATTGTCGCATAAGAAAATGACTCTGGAATAAAAAAAAATAGATCAAAAGGATGTTGTATACCGTAGACGAGTTTCACTTTTAATGCACGTTTTTATTTTCATTTTTCAGGTTAAAGCAAAACAACATGCTCTGTGCTGTGACGGCTGTGGGGGATGGCAACACAGACTCTGCAATACAGGTTAATATTTTTTAATTCATTAAAAATAAAGAAAAGCATACAAAGAAAAGTTTGGTTATATAAACTGACTGGAATACACTAATAAGTGAAGCACTGGATAAAGATCAAGTCAGTCATTCTTTGAGCTTGCTGAAGGATACTTACCTGTAGGATTCCTTCAGAAAGACATTTCTTGTGATGGACAGCGGCATCTGATTTTTGCAACTACGGAACAACTTGATGTCTTAGCCAATTTACAGACATGGTACGTCGACGGCACTTTTAAAGTTGTCAGGAGCCCATTTGCCCAGTTATTTTCAATCCATGGGTTCCTTGGTGACCAACAGAAACAGAAACAAGTACCACTAGCCTTTGTTCTTATGAGTCGACGACAGACTGCTGATTATGTCGCTGTTTTCACAGCCCTAATGACAATCCTACCAAGACGTGCGGCAGTCCAGACAATTGTTGCGGATTTTGAGCGAGCTACATGGGCGGCTGCAAGAGAAACAATCCGAGGGGTTACCGTTGAGGGATGCCATTTCCACTGGTCGCAGGCTATATGGAGGAAAGTACAGGAAGTTGGTTTGCAAGTCCCATACAATGAAGATCGACACATCCACAAGACTGTGAGGTGTCTTTTGTCATTGCCCTTCCTGCCAGAAGCCGAGGTAAAGGACGCCTTTCTGTACATTCAAGACCAAGCTCAGGATGATGACCGCCTACTCTCACTTCTGTCTTACGTTAACAGGAATTGGGTGGAAAGCAACGTATTCCCCATCCCTTCTTGGAATGTCTACAGAAAAGAAACGAGAACGAACAATGACTGTGAGGGATGGCATAGGAGACTCAACCACAACGCTAAAGAATCCACGCCCCCAATGTATCTCCTCATCCCAATCCTGCACAGCGAGGCAGAGAAGCTACCCCTTCAGAAACAAATGGTGGAAGAGGGAAGTCTCCACAGACTACAGCGCAGAGATGTCCGAGAGCGCCAGAGATTATATGAAGACCTGTGGGAACAGTACGAGGCTGGAATGTTTACAGGGTTGGAGCTGCTTGTGCAACTTTCCAGAGTGTGTGGCCCAAGTCGCCTCTAGTGTGTGTGTAACGATAACCTGAACAAAAAGTGTTCCCACCCAGACTATTATTTATCAATGTTGAGACACAAGAACTTCTATTCATTTGTGTTATGTATACGCATCTATTTTTCATGACGTCTACCAAATATTAAAAATAAATTAAGTAAGAAAAAAGTTGTTGTTAAAATCATTATTTTATGTTTTATTGGCCACTAGCATGCAAAAGAAGGACATATATACGTATTTGTTAACATTACTGATACAAATCAAATTGAGGGAAAAACCAACTTAATAATAATAAATACAGCCATTAAGCTATAAGACTACATCTTTCGAAAATGAATATTTCTGAACGTATACATATTAATATAAATATATATAATATAAATATATCTAAGAAATTTTATGGTTATAAATTATAGTTACTGCAGAAATATACATCAGTGCTCAAGTCTATTCTATTCGTATAGTGTAGTAGTGTAGTAGACCTTTGAGACGAACCTACTTACTAGCAATTATTAAATCAAAATTTAAAAAATTCAGTATAACAAAATTCACTCTTTTGTATCTCATTCAAAATGTATTTCGGTCCTGGTATATGTCCGTGTACTTAAAAACACGGAAAGAATTTGAGTACGTTTTATAACTTTATAATCTTGGGGCGTTCGTTATATACTTAAAATTTGGTGCACTCATGATATATATAATTTGGGGCGCTCGTGAATTGTTCATATCAATATTTTTTTAACATCTAAATGTAAAAAAAAGCCAATAATTTATTTCTTTACTAGTTTCTAAGCCTTGGGGCGCTCGAAAAACTTGGTGCACTCATGATATATATAATTTGGGGCGCTCGTGAATTGTTCACATCAATAATTTTTAACATCTAAATGTAAAAAAAAGACAATAATTTATTTTACTAGTTACTAAGCCTTGGGGCGCTCGAAATGCTAATTTGGGGCGCTCGTGAATTAAGTTTGGGGCGCTCGTGATTTAAATTTGGGGCGCTCATATTTGTACTTGGGCGCCGGTAAAAATGTTTGGGGCGCTCATGCATGGGGCGAAGTGACAGTAACCCTGTGGGACTAAAACCACCAAAATTAATGCAATCTTTAAAAATCTTCTTCTTTACTCCTGGACATCAACCAGTCAAACTGTTGGCATGATTGTAATAAGCATTGAGCCCTCTACCAAAATTGGGAAATTCATGGCCCCAGGGTCAGGGGTTCTGGTGCTAGGATGGGGCTATATAGATCATATAGTGAAAGTGCATTATTTCTTTGAAAATCTTCTTCTCTACTCCTGGGTATTAAATAAACTAACTAAGTACATAGTTATGATGAGCAAAAGTGCCTTATCCAAAATTGTGAATTTCATGGCCCCAGGGTCAGGGGTTCTGGTGATTGGGCGGGGCTATATAGATCATATAGTGAAAGTGCATTATTTCTTTGAAAATCTTCTCCTCTGCTCCTGGGAATCAAATAAACTAACTACATGTAAGTACATATGTTATGAAGAGCAAGAGTGCCGTATCCAAAATTGTGAATTTCATGGCCCCAGGGTCAGGGGTTCTGGTGTTAGGGCGGGGCTCTATTGATTATATAGTGAAAATGCATTATTTCTTTGAAAATCTTCTTCTCTGCTCCTGGGTATTAAATAAACTAACTAAGTACATAGTTATGATGAGCAAGAGTGCGGTATCCAAAATTGTTAATTTCATGGCCCCAGCGTTTATGGTTCTTGTTTTAGTGCGGGGCTCTATTGATTATATCGTGAAAATGCATTATTTCTTTGAAAATCTTTTTCTCTGCTCCTAGGTATTTAATAAACTAACTACATGTAAGTACATAGTTATGATGAGCAAGAGTGTCGTATCCAAAATTGTGAATTTCATGGCCCCAGGGTCAGGGGTTCTGGTGCTAGGGTGGGGCTATATAGATCATACAGTGAAAATGCATTATTTCTTTGAAAATCTTCTTCTCTACTCCTGGGTATTATTTAAACAAACTAAACACATAGTTATGATAAGCAATGATGCCTCTTCCAAAATTGTGAATTTCATGGCCCCTGGATCAGGGGTTCTGGTGTCAGGGTGGGGCTCTATTTATTATATAGTGAAAATGCATCATTTCTTTGAAAATCTTCTTCTCTGCTCCTGCATATTATTTAAACAAACTAAGTACATTGCTATGATAAGCAAGGATGCCTCTTCCAAAACTGTGAAATTCATGTCCCCAGGGACAGGGGTTCTGGTGCTAGGACAGGTCTATATAGATCCTATAGTGAAGGTGATTTATTTCTTTGAAAATCTTCTTCTCTGCCCCTGGGTATTATTCAAACAAACTAAGTACATTGTTATGATAAGCAAGGATGCTTCTTCCAAAATTGTGAATTTCATGGCCCCAGGGTCAAGGGCTCTAGTGAACGGGGGGGGGGGGGAGGGGGGGCTCTATTGATTATGTAGTGAAAAAGCAAAATTTCTTTGAAAATATTCCTTTCTGCTTCTAGTTAAAAAGCAAAGAAGCTTTGTGTGTAGTTATAATGAGCAAGAGTGCTTCTTCCAGAGTAGTGAATTGCATGAGCCCTGGGTCAGATGTGCTGGCGTAAAGGTGGGGCTCTTGATAATATAGTGAAAATGCATTACTAGTAATTCAATTTAATAATCATGTCTGCTCCTTAGTGTTAAGCAGATAAACAAAGTGATTACTTATAATGAACAAACTTCTGGTCCCAGGGTCAGAGGCTCTGGTGTTTCTCGGTGGGGAGGGGGGCTCTATTGATATTATAGTGAATCTGTAGTAAAAATGCATTATTTCTTTAAAAATCTAATCTGCACCTGGGTATATCAGAGGCAAAAAGAGTAAGTGTTTTAATAAGGAAGGGTATTTTTTACCAGATTTTTGAACATCTGGACCATTTGGTCAAGTGTTCTGGTCCTGGCAAGGGCTCTATTAATTTGTATTCTTCTGAGAGTAGTTATTCCCCTTTGCCATTTACTTTTGATAATTAATCACTGTAAATAATGTACTTGAAAGGTTAATTGAATAAGAGAATTATGCAAGAATTTTTATTGTATAATACAAAAAGTACTTTCATAGTTTTAATGATCAGTTAGACTTTTAAGTAATAGATAAATAAAAATGAGACAAAAATAATTTGTCTTATTAAATGTTCATCAAAGACCAAGAGAGGCCAATGTAAGACTTTTCAACCAGGAATTAAAATAGTATAGAAGCACTGATAGTTTTTTTATATACTATATGGTGATGGTGATAAATGGGGAACAGATTAGAACCTAATTTATGAACTATTACTGAATGCTAGACTAATTATTTTGTTGATCCTGATCATCCAATTTTTCTTGCTTTTGGGCAACAAAGCTTCATTTTATACTCTATGGATCCTCTAAATTGTTGTATTATACTCAGGTGACCGTTAAGGCCCTTGGGCCTCTTGTTTTTATTTTGCAACGAAATATATATGACTAATAAGAGGGTTGTTCGGAAAGTTCGTGGACTACCGTCATAACTTTTTTACTTAACGTCATATTATATCCAAATTTGGGAGAAATATTTCAACAGTAACTTCAAATGATGTGTATTAAAAATTTTTAAAATATCGTGATTTATTTCAAACTTATTTAGACTTATAAAATGCGAAAATCGGATCACGGAGCAGGTCAAAATTTTGTAATTTACAATCAAGACACTAAAAAATTTCTGAAGTCATATCTTCTGTAAAATGACACAAAAACGGGAAAATTCTACACGTTCAAATTAAGAATTGTTTCATCGTTTCTGATTCCAAATTATATATGACTTAATATTTTGCTTCAGTTGAAAAGAAATCAGTTTCAGAAGATAGGTAGTCCTCATTGAAAAAGGCAATAAAAGATGACGTCGTAGAACGTCACGGAGCAGCAGTTAACCATACAATTTTATGTTGTACTCTGGAAACCCCAGAAAAAACTCTGAAAATGCCGGAGGAAGTAGGAAATATGTCAAAAGCGAGCCATGCATATGTGTGTACATGGTACAATTAAGCGGTATTTGAATGATAGACTACTCAGCTACGACGATGGTGATCTGTGAGAACTGAAAACGGATTATCTGTAAAAACTTACCAAAAACATTAAAAAGTTACTTAGTAACGTCATGCTGAGTTTGGCGCTTCACAGATGCTAATCTTGTGAAAGCACACTTATGCAGTGAAAAAAATATAACATTGACAAACAAAATGATTCTACTGGAATAATAGAGAAACGCTTTTAATGAGTGCACTGGTATTGGGCAATACTTTGTGAAATATATAGGGATAGTATTTTTGAGAACCTCATGTCGGTATATTTTCAAGTTGACGTTAGAGTGTTGTTGAGTTTGCTCCGTGGTTACAAAACGTGTTGATTTTAAAATTAAATAACATGAATTCTATTAAATCACTTGGAATGAAGAAACTTCACACTTAAACAAAATAAATATTTTTACATATGATAATGTGCTCATTTTAAATTTCTTGAAGATAGTATAACGAAGATTGGCACAGTCTAGGAACTTTCCGAACAACCCTCGTATGGTGTTTTTTTTTTTTTTCTTGTAATAGCATATAGATGTACTTTCTAAATCTAAAATGATATATTAATTTCCAGACAATTTGGATATGTTGAAGGAGAGAGAAGACAATTTCGCGCTCAAGGCCAGATCTAGAAGGGGGAGGATCCTGGGATTCGAGGGTTATCTCAGTGTTATAAATGACTATTCATATCTATGAAGTGTTCTCTCAATTCATTATAACATACGGTCAAATAAATGAATAAATATTCCAAAATTAATAGAAGGTTCCATAATTAGGTATTTGCATCATACTTCCCACCGATTCCACCCAGATGATAAATATTGCCCTTAACTACAAACTATCAATATAGAAAGTCCCTCAACAATTCTTGGAGACCAACTTAAAATTTTATGTATGTATGCTTGTTTTTATTTTAAATTAAACTTTACAAAATCAAGTCTGCGTATAATGATAATATAATTTGAAGGGGTGGGGTGGCAAAACCGAGTCCAACAAAAGGACGCAAACAATGACGATTTCTACCTTCCCATAAATTTGATTGTGCAATGTACAATTGAAATTTACTTAGATTTATAAATATCCATGTTTTTTTTTTTTACCACATACATTCTATACATTGACATTTGTAATATATAATTTTTACCATGACGATGTTTTTAAATTAAATTACTTTTTTAGAATCTTCAATAACAACATTTATTTAAAAATAAATACATATGTAAATATGTATTTATGTAAATAAATAAACAAACAAGAGGCCCATGGACTACATCGCTCACCTGAGCCCATTGGCTAGGAAGAAGCAGAAATCAGTTCAGTATTGAACGGGGGGGGGGGGGGCTGTAAATTACACTACCTCAGGATGCTTCCATATCAATATTACTAATCATGGCTTTGCTGTACTAAAACTCTGATCTCTCATTGTGTCCCCACCCTACCCACCCTAAATTTGAACGAATTTGAATCATGGCTTTGCTGTTCTTGAGCAGAAGATTTTTTCAAGATGAGTCCTATATTTTTATATGCAAAACTTTGACCCTCTGTTGTGCCCCCATGATTTGAACAAACTTGATTATACAATACCTAAGGTTGCTTCTGTATAAATATGACTAATAATGGCCTAGTTGTTCTTGAGAAGAAGATTTAAAGATTTTTTTCTACGTAAAAGCAGTAGAAAAGGATTTACCAAGAGAAACTTTCAAAACTGTAATTAACTAAGCAGTAATTAACAAAGATTGAATTGAAGTCCATGGAGACAAGCGATTTTTTAAAAAGAAAATTCAAATGATATGAATATCAATAAATACTAGGGTGAAAATTAAGATGCATTAAAACATTAGAAATAGAATGACAATTCAAAACGATTTTTTTAACCAGTTAAGTTGTTTAAAATTGATTTTTTGATTAATTCAAAACAGAGGGAGATAACTCTTAGCGAAATTCAAGGTCATAAATTATGACACGTCCCACCCTTACATGCTAATAGTAATAAATGGGAATTACTCAGTAAATATACTGAGTATTCAACACTTACACATCTGTTATGTATTAAATTCCCCATTGATTCTATTGCAATTAGGGATGGAATACCTTAACTTATTTATTCCTGATTCAACATCCAACTTTTTCAGCTAGCATCTGAATGTCTAACTTCCCCAAAGCTTTACCTTTTAGACCATTTGGTTTGGCTATTCCATTCCAAGGGTTGTCAGGTCATTCCATTATTTGAGGTTTTCAATGCGTTTTACTCAAATGGCCCTTAACTATTACACCTATATATTCCTAGCAAAACTTTGACCCACTGTTGTGGCCCTGCCCTACTCCTGGGGGCCATGATTTGAACAAGCTTGAATCTACACTACCTGAGGACACTTCTTTATTAATATGACTAATACTAGCTTAGCTGTTCGTGAGAAGAAGGCCTTTAAAGATATTTCCTTTATATTCCTATGGTTAACTTTGACCCCTGTTATGGCCCTGCCCTACCCCAGGGATCATGATTTGAACAAACTATAATCTACACTAACCTGAGAATACTTCTATTATAATATGACTAATCATGGCTTTACTGTTTTAGAGAAGATTTTTAAGACATTTCCTATATATTCCTATGTAAAATTTTGACCCCTCTTGCGGACCCGCCCTACCCCTGGGAGTCATGATATGAACAAACTTGAATCTAGAGTATGTAATGAAGCCTTCAAATAAGTTTCATCTTTTCTTGCCAAGTGGTTCTTGAGAAGATTTAATAATGCCACCAAATTTTCATGAATTCTTAATCATCTCCCCTTGAAAGAGGGTACAGCTCTTCCTGTGAACAAACTTAAATCCCCTACACCAAAGGATGCTTTGTGGCAAGTTTGGTTGAAACTGGCCCAGTGGTTCTTGAGAAGGAGACGAAAATGAGAAAAGTTTACGGTCTACAGACGACAGAGGGACGCCGGACACACTTTGATCAGAAAAGCTCACTTGAGCCTTCGGCTCAGGTGAGCTAAAAATCTAGTTTAAATTACTGTTTAGTTTTAATTAGAGTAGCGAGTATGCGAGCTGGTCTAATACATCCATTTATAAATAAATTTTAGGCACAGCTATTAAATGGGCTGCCCTTACAACAACATGTATATTCACTATTCGACCACTCTTTCCGAAGGAACTCATGTATTCGACACTTCAAAGTATGTATTGATAGTAATCTATCTGCTGAGCTTCTTTCAAACATGTCTATTGGATTACTATTCGAATAAAACAAGAGCCCATCTAGGGGATTGATGATTTTTTCTTTGATAAACAGATCGCAAACCAATAGTGATCGTTTGCTATGAGTTTATGTCCTTCAATCCAAAGTTTCTTACACAATTTATAAACATTGTTATATTTTTTACATGTATGAATATATATTGTTGACAATATGTCAAAAGGATTGGACACAAGTTCCAAAACTTGAGTAGTTGCTTGTTTAAAATGAAAACAATGACGTAATTTAAAGACACCATGCACTTACTTGATTCTTCTGAAAACGAGAAAAAAATCCTTAAAGTTTCAACTTGTTTATTTGATTAATACAGAGATCACTTAACAATAAAAAAAAATGATAACAATTTCATGTACAAATGTATATATAAATGTTCAATTTGACCAGAACATGTACAACTGTTAAAATAATCGAAGCAGAAATTTTTTTCTCTCTGATGTGGTGTGTGTGAACATATATACTGAAAACAACTTTTCTTTGGTCTTAATGATCATCTACCATAGTATCCATTTTAGTCGTTCGTTCACTCGAGTTTCTTCTTGCTTGTAGGGTACTTCCAAAATTGCACAAGTTACATTTGATACATCACCTGTATTGAAACGTATGTTGTGTAAGAAAACTCTTAGTAAAATGAACGTAATATTTTTGTAACATATGCTACTTTTCAAATAATAGTAGTACATGTAGGAATCTTATATATATATATATATATATATATATATATATATATATATATATATATATATATATATATATATATATATATATATAAAACGACTCGACTGTCCTTGGCAGTCACGTGTAACGTATACTGATATATTGGGTGTGCGTAAATTAAAAATTACGCAATCTTGATTTTGCATTGACTCACAAACATAGACACTGCAATTAAATTTTACGATGAATTTAATTAATTGCAATTTACGCAACACAGCACTCAGCATGTCAGTATCAAAGGCTTCATTCCCTCCTATGTGTATAATGACAGTGTATACCTTAATTTTTTTTCCAATTAAAAATGTGCATGCTTGCGTTGTAATATTGTTTAATCTTGGGGGTATATTGTGGCGACAATTTGTGTTCGGAGACAGGTCATAACTCTAGCAATGAAAAATGTTCATTTCAGAAATTATTTTTGCGTTGAACTTAAAAATAAGTATTGTTAGTTCGTAACATTAATGATAAACAAATTCCAAAATAAAATAGAATAAAATGAAGATGGTTACTTTGAATTAGAAGTTTGATAAAATCTCAGGTTTTGAACTTGAGAGGAAATCAATATATTTGTATATGAAAGTAGCAGTAAAAAGATTGTATTTTTATTCCCTTTTCTCTTGTTCAAGAATGATGATATGGAGTTAGGATTAACCAATTAAACCAATTAAAATATCAAATTATCACTTACAAGTGATATTTTTAAGGAACTTGACTTGTAAAATTGATAATTCATGCAAAACCTATTAATCATTAAAAAAAAATGATAATCAAATCATCAGACGGACACGTACAGTAGTTGAATCCACACTTCTCAAAAGTTATATCCCTTGACCACCATCTTTGGGGAAAACCCACAGTAGCCTTTGTAGTTTTCTGCTTTGTAACTTGGTCATTTGACATATTTGAAAAAAATGTGCATCTTGTATACAATGTATATATTGATTGCTCCAGGATTGGGCTACCCATACATTGAAAGAAAAAAGTTAAACACAGTGGATTAATTGAAACACGTCCAAATGTTTGTTAGGAGACGATCATTTGATGCTGAAAGGGGGCAGGTTTTGGAAATAAATAACCTGTTCTCAAAATATGTTGAAAATAAATAATCTGTCCTCGACTGACAAGAACATAAATAATCTGTCCATGACTGGCATGAAAATAAACAATCTGACTCGAACAATCTGTGTTGCCCCATACGATGGCATATACAAGAAAGGTACAAGATTTTTCGAAAACATATGAAGGTTTAAAATATTAACTGGTAAATTACAAGGGATATACGCCGACAAAGAGAGTTGTTAGTTAATATTTATGAATGTGAAAGTCGTCTATTGACCGACCTTTCCGGAACCGGAAGTCCTCCTCCCACTCCCCTTTCTCTGTATCGAACACCTCCACTATACGCACTTGTTGACCTGTTTCCAACAGCGATCCTCCCATGACAAAAATACGAGTCCCTGATCATAGAAAAGTAAGTATTTAGACTGAGTCAGCTACTTTTAAAGGTTATAAAAACTTCAATTTTATCTTTAAAAACGCTCGGCCCGAAAAGTGGTTTTGACACCAATACACAGTTCTCCTGCTGGCATACTTCATATCATTGAATAAACTCTTCAATAAAGACCAGGCCTGGAGCCAAACTCATCATTCTGAATTCTAGTTAGATGCTCTTCAAGTGAGCTATCCGGCCAAGAGACCTACCTTACCGGTACCTTTCTCCCTCCACAAGTGCCTTTGCCTTAAATTCAAAAGACACAAACAAGAAACTCTTCCCTGGCAGGTTTTTCAACTATTCCAGGGAATTGCAAAGATGTTATGGCTACGGACAAATTGCGACAAACAAGACCAGGATTCAACTAAGTTAAATTATTGCTAAGTATAGCACAATTTGAAGGGCAGAACTCTAGAAAGATGCTATACATAGCAAGCTTTTTGGCAAATAGGGAACAAACCTGCTTTGCAGTCGATCACAATTATCAATTAATTTCCAAACACGTCAGATTTAAAATTACCAAACATATAAATACGTTCGGGACTTATAAAACGGTAATTTGACATTATCCTTTTCCCATCTAATAGTTAAGTGAAATTCCTACAACGTGTACAATGTAGTGTTCAAAGACAATAATCACATGTCATCAAATCAACTTTTTTCCGAACAAGCACAGGGAAACAGATTTACCGTAGAAATCAATAAAATCATTCAATAATATATTTGAAGAACATTCTCGAAAGAATTTGTAAGACGAATAAAGACCCTGATCAAAGCACGGAATACAGAAGTTTACAGATACATGTACTTATTTTATGCCAGTGTTTAGTGTTTAATTCTACCACTACGAGATGGCCTACCGACAGTAGCGACGCCATGACTGTGACGGCCGTACGACATATTGGGCAGAGCTAGGTTCCAGGGGGAGATAAACTCAGACACAAGGACGGGTTTCTCGTCATCCGTGTCGTCTTCCTCCTCCTCTACTACTTCCGGTCGAGACATGGCTGACACGCTGGTCGTGTAGGAAAAAATACGACGGTGTGTTACAAATTTCAATTTCTTTTCTTGATTGTCCATGGTGCACACGACACCTGTAAATATTTAAGCATTGTGTACACGATGTGCATGTTTAAAAAACACTGAAGCCTTAATTTTGCACGAAAGATGCTTCCTATACAAAGTAACTACTTGCCATCAACGACAATATGGAAATATTTTCTCCCAGTTGATACTTTCCTCTGTATTTCTAATGAAAACTACTTTCCTAAACCAATCCATTATATATAAACTACTAAGTCGTTAGAAGAAGTTTTTTTATAGCCATCTGTATGAAAGATTTCTTAAGCAGCGGGCTCTTTCATCAATGAAACAGGACATACATACACAGATCAATATTGCGATATTTTATTAACTTAAACTCACTTTATATGATTATTTTTATTAAGACATAAAAATAATAAAATATCTTTATATTTCTATGTTAATGGTTGCAACCATTGCAGAAAAAAATTACATAACCCGCTTTTAGCGATAGTTGCAATAGCTGCAACAGTTAATTCCGCCATTAACAAACATTTAGCATTTTAATGTTTAAACGAATCCAGATCTCCTACATTTTTAACACTCTTCAACTGTAATTATTTTCCTATAATTTGTCAAAAAAATTATCGTTTAAATTGCTAATTTTAAGCGAAGAACAAAATTCTATATAATTATATATTTACTACTACTAAATATTAACATTTTTAAAACTTTATTTCATTTTTCACTAGTTTTCGTGATTACCTCCAATGAAATATAAATGTCTACCGACTGTTGTCATGGCGAATCTATCCAGACTTTCCGGAAGTTGATGTGGGTAAGGCCTTCCCAGATCCTCCCAACGTCTGCCCTCGTAGGTCCTTAAGCAATTAAAACAAATAAATATGAAATTTAACACTGGCTTTTTCTTGAAGGGGGAGGGGGTTATAAATTAAAATAGAAAAAAATATCATAGAAAGCATTTGATTTCAAACTTGTTTGCTAATGCAAACTTGTTCGTTTTAATTAATGCTCTCATTGTGTACGCGTAATGCCCCAGAAGTATGATGTAATATCAATCCAGCTTATGTATTCAAGGTCTATTAGAATCCTCTCCATATATAGAAATGCTCTATTGTATTAAAAAGGGTAACTATACAGGATAATGCCATCTTTTATGAAATATGAAAACCAAGTAAGATTTGCTTGTCCAAATTAAGTATGAGTTTGTATGAATTCGATTGATTGCAACTGTTTCATTATTGTTTTCCAACATAAACTTGACAGATAGCATCAGGACTGAATGATTAAATGTTCATCAGAAAGAACATAAAAGTCTAAAAGTAATGAAATCTGAGATGGACTTCAACACCTAGTATGACTATTGATGCTTCGGTCTGCCAAGACTCACAGCGTATTGTTTTCCAGTTAAACATCTATTTCATGCAGCATCAAAATAATAAAGAAGTTCTTAAGCTTCTGGGGCATATTGTACCCATGTTACTTTACTAAATTATTCATGATTTTGTAATTTATTTGTAAGTTTCAGGATAATATACCGCGCCATGTCAGGCTAAGCTAATAGTCTTGTTTTAGGACTAGCTAACTAATTCTGCTGCTTGTTGAACTTGCTGATTATTATTGGATGTCTCTTAAATTAAAACCACTAGCAGAACTGTCCAGATCAATATACCGAAGAGCCATCTTTTTCGGAATATAGCGAGGTTTCCCTTCTTTTTCAAATGACGAAGTCGTCCTCAAAGAGACAGTCGAAAGTCATTACAAATCTTATGAATGGAAATTTGAAATTTACAAATTTTCCTAGCTAAGGTAAGTATAACAAATACATCTATATCGATAATAGTATCAAATTATATATATATATTGTATATATATATATATATATATATATATATATATATATATATATATATATATATATATATATATATATATATATATATTGCAATGAATAAATATATTCAAAATTACAAAGCATTGGCAATAATTAATGACAATAGTAAATATAATATTGAACAGTGTAAATTTAAAAACTTAGAGAGAAACTATTTGGAGTAATTTTTTCAGTTGGTAGTTAAAGGAAGGTGATAAGAATATTTTTATGTATCTGCTCCTCTTGACATCCCCGACTTTTGAATTAAATTTTCAATGAGAAAATATCTGAACGCAACTCAGAATATTCTTGAAAGTATTATGTAGATTGTTATCAAGCCAACACAACAAACAGAATAACGAAAGAGGCAATAAGCGCATGTTTATATATTATTCAGAGAGTAGAAGGTTTATTAAACCGAACATATGTTTAAAATAATTTTAAAAGAAGCTTATTTCTTCCCTGTTTTTGACTTTTTTTGTGCAGACAGACATGAAACTTAAATTTTGCAGTAACGTTGTTTTATATCGAGAAAAGAGATATGGATAATGTTTCACTTCATCACGAATTTCTATTAATTTAATAAAGTTACATCACCATGCAATTTTTTTTTGTTTTCATATGAAGTGTTGTTTGACAAAGTCGAATCAATAATTGAATTGAGTGAAGCCTCCGTTTAATTGGTTTCAATAATAACTTCATGAATAAAGATGATGATGAACTCCTCAAATTTACTGCACAATGAAAATGAATTTATTATTGAATTTCACGATTAGAAAGCCTTTTTACTCAGTAAATCATTCGTTCAGACATTGATTCTATGTGGCCTTGCATCCACAATCATCTGACACAGAATATTTTAGATAATGTACCTTCTTCCCTTCTTTTTGTTCAAGAGGATTATACCATTTATATAACCTCACAAGAATTATTAGTAATCACTATAACAGTAAACATATACAGATACACCGTATTCATGGAATTATTATTCATTTTGTTTTGGACTGTAGAACTCACCCAATTTAAAAATTAACTATACACAAATATATATGTACACATGCGTGGATTAAAGAATGCTAATGTATTCATCTTACAACACCTTCATTTTAAATATCCGGTTACGTTCGCTTTCGGAGGCCCGGGTTCGATTCTCGCTCGCCGCGTCAACATATGTAGTGACTGTTCCTTCGCCAAGCGCAAGGCATTAGAAGGGAAAGTCATGGATTTTTCGGATGAGACCTTAAAAACGGAGGTCCCGTGTCACGGTAGGTGTTGGACCGATAAAAAAAAGAATTCTCACTGCTTATTGATTTATAGCTTTGTGTGCCGATTTGAAGCCCTTCACCAGAATCTGGTGACGTCTCTATGTGAGTGAAAATTCTCGAATGGGACGTAAAACAAAATACAATCAATCAAACTATGCATACAACTTGGAAAATTTAATCACATTACAAGCTTAAAAGGTGTTGTCACCTTACCAGATATTTCTGTGGCTCTTGTTACCATAGTAACCCCCTGCGCAATAAATTTCGTTGTGGTGCACCACACACATGTGGTTCGCTCTTGGTGAGACCAGTGGTGGTGCCTCTGTCCATTCATTCTGTTCAGGGTCATACATTTCACAGGAGGACAGAACTTTACCGTTGCTTTCCTCTCCGCCTATACATATTAACAAAAAAAGAATATGGCTCATGGTCTGACTTTATAGTCAAAACCTCGATAGTACATCTAAACTACCATCATTATATAGAGATTTTATAGCATATTTGATGTGAAAATGTTCACTTTAAAATTATGCATGAAAATTTTGGGAAAAAAGTTTGTTATATTATGCCGCAATTTCATTATTTTTTTTTCAGCTAAAATGATTAAGATATGAAAAGTTCCGCAAAATAATAAAATGTACAACATTGTCAAGCGCATTCCCGTTACTATTGGTTGACAAAGCTTTAAGCATCTACTCAGTCAAAAGCAATGTAAGAGCCCGATTATACCCGAGAGCATATAGACATTGTGTCAAAGCAATATGTTATAAAATACTCAACAATTGTGTAAATCTATATAATCCAGTGGGAATGACAAAACATAAGCCTTTAAGCTTTCCCTAGGGAAGGACAGTGCTTTCAACACAGTTTATCCTACAACCAATTCTTCGAAATGACAATTTCCGTGTTTTTCCCTACCGTGTCGCTTGTTTTTATCTTGATCCATAAATTAATGACTTGGAACAAAAATATAGAACAATGTATGACATTCTACATAAAGATACTATCCCCGGCCAACACTTTTATGTCTTTGTTATCGTCATTATAACAATGAGAACATTGATTCCATCTTAGTTTGCTTCAGATACCTAGGATCAGGATTTTGCCGTCCAATACAGCAGTAGCGAACTTGGCACGTGCGATTGGAAGAGGTTTTACGTCTTTCCATGTTCCATCGTCTGGATCAAACCTATAAAATGGTAAGTACAGTTAAGGCTATTTCTGTACGATTTCAAAACTTAATGATCTGTTTTATTGAAACAAATCTTTCTCTACTATTTCAGGAATATGACTTCATGTAATTGAAAGAATCAGTTTTTGTAGTAAATCATCCAATATTTGTTAATGCGTAAAAATCCATTAATTAACTTTTTCAATAGACTAAGGAAGCAAAAAATATTATTGGTAAAGATAATTTAAACATTTAACGAATAATTTTTTTTAATTTGAGAAAAAGAGGAAAACACCAACTAAAATACATTTAATTATATGAAAAAAAGGTTCATTTTGTTTGGAAGAAATACAACATAAAAATGAATAACACCCGGGTTTTGCTGTATCATTCAGAAATAAAGAGCTGTAGGCTTTTAAGTAAAATTTATGGCTAAATCGATAGTTTAATAAAATGAAATAAAAGCCTGAAAGATAAGTGCACATAAAATCGGTCCTCAAGTAGACAAGCCAAAAAATAACAAATAAACCTGAGTAAATGAACGATTCATTAAGAGGGGAGTTAGTTACCTGACAACTCTTTTTACGTGCTTGGCAGTAGCCACGTTAAACCCTCCAATAATGTACAGGAAGTTATTTACGATAGCAACTCCAAAGTGACTAATATCCTTTGTAGCCTTCCAGTGCTCCGTTTTGATTTGATACGTCAGGACATCGTTGTGGTCTGGGGTCAGGAGGATATAAAAAGCCTCCCCGGACCCCGACCTATTGATGGTGTACAAACGGTGCTGGACAAACTGACCGGAAGATGATCTTCTAGAGTTGTTCATTCTTCCATGTTGTCTATAAAAGAATTAGTAAACATATCACTCTGGTTTCTTTGTTGTAAATATAGCTGGGGTTTTTTCTTGTAATGTGTTAGGACAAGCTATAATTTGAAATGTAGTGAAAGATAAAACCTAATCACTGTCATTCCGTACGAATAAGTATTCGTTACTAGTAAATATTTGGTCTGAACTTAATGGTTTATTTAAAATATAGAGAAGAGAATTTAGACAGTGGGGAAAAAATCAGTCAAACAGTCTGTAAATTCCTTAGTTCCTTGTGGGTATCGTTTTCACCAGGTCTGGATCTGTTGACAAAATATGCAACCTAATTATGTTCAATTGATGTTTCTTTTATCTTTGATCACTATGAAAGAATTTGGCAAGATAGCTCCTTATTTAAATCCCAAGTGCTTAGCAGCCATGATTTATACTTTTTTTTTAACAGAGTGTGGGAATTGAAGAGAGATTAACGCCATTTAGATTTCAAAACTTTTAAATTTAATGATTTTTTTTTCTGTATTAACAGAAAAATCTGCCCATTTCAAGTTTATTGAGGTATATCCAATTTTGAGCTCAACCCTTATATATGAATAATCGGCATGGTGAAGATGTGATAAGTTTATTGTAAACTTGCTTCTAAAAGGAAACTTAAGGTGCTCTTTAAAATCATAAAATTGTTTCATTAATCCATACAATATTTCGAATTTTAAAAAAGTTTCTAAACAAACAAATTATAACCGCAAACCTTTTCTAAAGGCTTTCAAAAAGGTGGCCAGAACCTAATAAAAGACAATCTCGAAAATACAGTGTTTTGTCTTTTATAAAGCGTGTTTTCTAGTTAAGGCAATTTCAAAGTTTTCGTTTTGTTTTCCATTATTTGGAATGAAACAAGATACAGATCTTCTGAGAATAAAAGACCATAAATGTCTTACCTTTAAATATCAGCTGTATTTATCTATTCATCGCAAAGACCTTAATATACACCGGTCAAACTAAATTATTTATCCAATTCTGACACGGTATATTTGTTAACTCCAAATTACTTTCACTAACAACGTTTGCCCGAAAGTGCAAGGCAATCATCGCTTCATTGAACGTGGCCCTTTGCCGATACCAGCTATCTAAGCTTATCGTTTTTAACCGTTAAACAAATTATCTTTTAAATGTATTTATTGTTCCAGGTTGTAACTCGGTGTAAGAGCAATTTTAAAAATTAGAATTTCCTGTATTGTAGAATTTAAAATAGAAACTCAGATAGATTAAATACAAAGTAGCACGGTAAATATAGGATCAGAATTTAATTCAAAGCGATATCTCTTATTCAAACATCAAAACTGTTAAGACCAAATAAAATCACAATGGCCATTTTGATTAAGTGGGCATTTTGGTTAAAACTATCAGCAACTCTTAAAGAAAGGTGATTTAACAAAGAGATGTTTCATGTTTGTTCAGTGTAGGAATTTGTATTTTGAGGGATTGAAAAAGACACTTGAATGAGTCTTGCTTCTTACTGAATACCTTCTTGAAATATGTTTTAAAAGTATGTGTTCGCGTACGCTTATCAGATGAATGAAACTTTTGAAATAGCAAAAGGGAAAAAAGTTTAATAATATAATAAATGCAAAAATATTAAGGAAATTAGCAACTACTGTATTTATTTAATCATTATTCCATGATACATCTCAATTAAGTACACCCCACATTTTCTGTCAGTGAGTTATGTGCTAATTTCATGTACATTTACTACTTCATTCCCTTATCCCCACTTTTTTCTGAGTATAGTCTGTTGCTATGGTAAAATTTCATTTAGAAGCTGTTTGACTCCCCCCTCCATCATTTTTGAGTTTGGTCAATTTTCAGGGTTTTTTTTTTTTTTTTTTTTTTTTTTGCTTTAATTTAAGATTTTTGGGGGAATTTGCCCCCCTTCTCCCTCCTGCTTTTAAAACCGTTGTTACGTGCCCGAAAACAGAAAACTGATACATGTATTACGCCTTAATTTAGTTACTTTATGGTTCTAAACAAATTTTGAAAATCGCTTATAACTGATGATTTTCATATGCAATACATGGCATGAATTACTGAACTATTTAGATGAATGATGTGTCTAGGTGTGTCACCCAAAAACTGCTTTTTTTAGAATCCGACTTTTTCTACTGACATTTGTTATCAAAACATCTTCAGAATATACATGTATACTGAAACACAAAAGAAACGCAACATCCTATTTTATGGGAAAATATTATATATAGGATATAATTTTATATCTAAAAAATAAGGACATCTTCAACTTTGTAAATATCGGTTTAACGGTTGAATGATTTTCATACCATTACTGAACCTACTGCATCGTAGAAATCAACGAATGTGTTACTTTCTAAAGTTAAGTTTGAGTCCGCTTAACAGAAATCAAATATTGCATGTTTAACAAAACATTTGGCAATAATATGGGGTTTTAAGGATTTGTATCTGTTCATCATAAGTAATGCAGTAATGTTTCGAAAAATGAATTCCCCTTTCTTTTCCATAAGCGATGTCAAGGCTTCCTAAAAATGACTAAGTGCGCATTTCTATTGCTCTAGCTGGAAAATCTCAAAATAAAGGTGATGGAGAGTTGCAGATGCAAATATGCACCACATCACGCCTCAGTAGGCTCTTACGTATATCACTAGCATAAATGACCGTTCTTGGACCGGAAGTCCAAGGTTACTACACTGCGCTTGGCTAGAGAAAATTCGACCTCATCATCTGAAAAACAGGCATTTAAAAATGGCAAAGAATATTTCTTTCGCTCAGATCTCGAGATTGATGAACCTACTGCATCGTAGAAATCAACGGATGTGTTACTTTCTAAAGTTAAAAGATAATAATTTAACATTTTTATCAAATCTCTGATGTTCTTAAATCGAGTTTTACCTGACTGTATTCATTTTTGAAAATCATTAGATAAAAAATTCAAATATTCGTAGATTACTGCTTGTTGCGTTTCTTTTGCGTTTCAGTATATATATACCCATTATGTATGGGTATACATGTATATTAGGGGTGATGCTCTGTACTAGATGAAACATTTAGTATACATGTGTATATTTGATAAATCAAAACAATCTGTCTTTTAAATACTCTAGATCGCCAGGACAGACCATACTTAAGATATAATTACTGATAAGATCAGATTACACACAATAAGCGAAGCATTTAGGTACGGAATTGGCTTATCAAACTGGACAAACTTATAGGACTTGGGATGCTGTCAGATCATTAATCTTTGATTCATTTCAATTACAGCTGTAAAACAAATATAAGACGTCACTTTTTTTATTTCAGAGAGAGAGAGAGAGAGAGAGAGAGAGAGAGATGCTACTCTGCGAAATTAATTTATCTTTGAAGGTAAAATAAAAACTTAATGCAATACATTAAAATCTAAAAGATAAACTTTGACGACAGAAAATACTTATTCAGTTCGTATATTTGTGGTATTAGCCTTATTGAAAATCCCAGGCGATATCAAAGTCCCTTAGTTTTAAACGGAATATTCTATCTGACATGAATGACAACTTGGAGACAATAATAGCCTTACCTTAAATGTCCGTCGTCTTCAAATCCATATCTATTTCCCTAACCCTTAACTTTATATTGGATTATCTGCTGTAAAATAAAACGGATGTACTCCACATTATAGATGTTTACTCTAAACATTTTGCTCTTATTGATAAAACCTTTCCAAACAGACAGTGCTTATACGTAACGCAGTAACTCTTGTTATTTAAAGGTAGATTCCCATGCTACAATGAATTGAGGCTATATAAATTACAAAATTCAGTTGTGGCGATACTTTATTTTGTAATTGAATATCTAATATACCAAGCCATGAAACCAATCAGAACTAAGATGTTCTTATTGACATTACGTGTAGGATTTAAATCACATAATGAAATTGATTTGATATCAAAGATTTTTTTGTATTATCCATCAAAAAGATCAAATATCGCCGATAAAATGAAAAATTTATTTCGTTTCAGTATTGAAATATCTGGTAATTTAATCACAATGGCAGTGGCATCGGATCGAAAAACTGTAAGAAAACTTATATCTGTAAACTCAAATGAAAAATTGATTCCAGTCATTGAGAAGAAAATCGGTAAAGATTTAGAGAGATTGCCAGAAAATGACCCTAAAAATCAGTCATCCAACCAAAGCAACGTCACAACTCAAAAGAATATCCTTTCTAATAAAGGTCGACCCTGCTCAGGATCATCGATTTTGAAGCGTTCTGCTCGACCGTCGTCTGGCCATTCAGTAAAGTTTGTTGGACAAGAGACTATAATTTCAATTGAGAATACAGATTGTTCACTAGTTAGCGGAAATTCTATTTCAAATCCAGATTACAAGAAGATATCATTAGAGACTATCACTCAACAAGAACCTCTTAAATTGCATAGTGATTTAGCCATTGAATGCCAACATGAGATTGTTCTTCCAGCTGAGAGCAAAATCTCTACCCCCTCTACATCAACAATCCCTTCTGCATGCGAAACAATAAATAGCAATGGTATGTCCACAAAATGTGGAACAATAGCTAATGAAAATGAACAAAATATTAACTTCAATGAAAATAGCATCGCAGAAGTAGACTTGATATCACAGAATAATTATCGACAAATGGACTTTACAAAAGAGAATGACAGATTACACGAAGAGGAAACTGGAAATAAACAAAAATTAAAACACAAAGAAGGAGAGGAAATTCACGAATGTGCAGGTACTAAAGAAGGTTCAAGGGAAAGTATTAATGATTTACCAAGTACATCATATAAATCATGTATTCATGATACTGATCAGGCTAAACATCATCATCCCCAGAGGGAAACCTCCTATCACCAGAAGAGAGTTATATATAACACAGAAAATTGCCCAACTAATGGCGATATGCTGAGAGAGGGATATTACAGAACAAAAGGGGATGGAAATGAGAAAAGGCATAACAGACATAGAGATATTAAACAAATAATGTCAGAGAGAAATGCCCCTGAAAGTGGAATGGTTCAGCTTGATGAGATGGAATTGGATGATGGATTCAGTGGGGAGAAGGAAAAAGAAATAACACAAACAAAAATAAATTCAAGAAAGATATCGGCACAGAAAAAGAAAAAGCTGTGCGAACTATACGAAGAACTCAAAAGAGTTCGGGATGCCATCGCACATATGTATTCTCTTGAAGAGGAAGAAAAAGAAATTAGCGAGCCCGACACAGAAAATAAAGAGTTTGAAGATGAGGAGGTAAAAAGGTATCAGAATACTAGTCCAGGGGAATCCAGGGGCTCTGAAAAAACAGATGTGGAAAAAGAGAATACCGACATTGAAAAAGACTTGATTTGTGATACCAGCTCAGAAAGCACCCTAAACGATGAAGAGAGACATGACAGAAGTATAAGTGAAAGAAGTGAAGATTATTTAGATAAGAAAAAATCGTTGGAAAAATCTGATGACGAAACAGATATTAGTGATATCCTTACTAAAAGCAAGAGAGAATCAGGAACCCAGCTTGTCATTGATAAGCAAAAAGACGAAAATACTGATAATGAGGAAGAAAAGGACACATTTTGTGAAAATGAAGAAGAAATTAGAGACAAAAATGCAGTGGAAAAGGTTCTTTCCGAAGAGTGTAGGAGTTCTGAGAATAATGTAGAGAACGGAAAAAGTGTGATTATTAAAAAGTACTCAGTCTGTAGCAATCATGTGGTAGGGTTAGTTAATAGCTATGAAGAAGATACTAAAACGGACAATAAGGATGAAATACAAGGGCAGGAAACAAACACCGTCATTGAAAGAAATTCAAAAAATAAAATGGAGGCAAAAGATGACAAACTTCAAGATAAAATAGCAAAGAATCAGATCAGAATAAAAAATTCAGCTCGTTCAACTCAAAATAAGATCCACGAGAAAAAGAACGAAACACACCGGAAGAGCGGAAAGCAAAACCCAACACATTCCCAGTCGGAGGAATCTCAAAAAGGGAAAGATTTTAAGTCAAAATGCCGTCATAAATTGACAGAAACCAAAAAGGCCGATGTTAATATCAACGATGTTAAAACTAAAGGCGTGACAACTCAAGACAAAACCATTGACAGAACAAAAGAGGAGCATGGAATAGACAGTTCTTGTTTTTCCTCAAGTGAAGAAAATCAATCTAAAATTAATGTAGATGTTGAAAATCATTTTACACAGACTGACAAAAACAACTGTAGTGTAAGTGATAATGATGAAAAAACTATAACACGAGAAGTCGAAAAATGTAGGAAACACGCCAAAACAAAAGATGAATATAGTACAAAAAATGAGCGATTAATCCATTGTGATACAAGTAGTATGGGGATAACAGAAACAAAACTGGCTGAAGAAAAGTGTTCCGAGTTAAACCGAGACAGTTTAATGAATAACTTTTCAATGTCAGAACCCATAATCATAGATAAAACGAGAAAAGATTCCTGTCAACTGACAAGTACATCAACTGCTGCTAAGAAGAAAGTAATAGAGGACGAAAGACAATTGAACGAACCAAACATTTCATCTACTCTTGAAGGTTATAAAAATCTTGTTTCCGAAGTGAATTTAGACTTTGTACTTGATGTAAATTACCCAGGTGAAAATATTCGAAAGGATCCTGAAGATAGAGGGATGAGAGAGAGCTTTTCAGATTCAACTCTAATGATGTCACCAATGAAAGAAAGAGAGGATGACTATTTTGATTTTGACGATGATATCTCTGACAACGACAGCTTCACGGGTGATATATCATTTTAAGCATGAAATACATTCAACTATTTAAAATATATGAAAATATATTCAATAATATGCAATATAAAATCTGTGAAAAACTCGACATAACTTATTGCATAATTTTTATTAATTTAGACATCCCCAAAGTTACGGACGAAAAGAAAAGCAAAGAAGCAACAAATGCAGCTAACAAAATTATAAAGGATATCTTGTGCAACATCAGTGACATGCAAGAGAACAGAAAGTTTAAAAGAGAGTAGGTTTAGTCGACCATCAGATGATTAGCCATTTGATCATATGAGGATCAAATGATTTTTTTAAATTGTCTTTTCAGTTATATTTTTCTGTTTATAGTCTTGCTAACATCTCTATCCATTTTGTGTAGATTTAAGACAATGACAACAGAGCAGGAGGAAATGTCATGCATAGTCATCTCTGACCCAGATGACACGTTCAATGTTGACTTAATAAAAGATATTAACTGTTCAAATATCGATCCACTAATTGTACCTTCTTTAGTTGGAGAGTATGAACTTTTAGTCAGCAACGTCACTCAGCTATCTGCCTCACTTAACATCGACTTTGGGGTAAACAAGTTAAAATAAAGCTTCCTATAGTATTGCTTGAAATTATCATACATTATCAGAAAAACTTCTTCATTCAAGTTTTTCCTATTTGGTTTGACAGAAAGTACAATTGAAAGTTCGAATTCCATTCATGAAATCTGAAATGAAGTATTTCCATCGTCCTGTCTTGCGATGGCTTTCTGCCGAAAGAAAATGGATTGAAATTCCGTCTGTTGAATACTTGTACGAGGACGAGGAAGGCTGTGTAAGTTACACTGTAGTAAAAGATACTGAGAGATCATGGGGAAATGTTTAAAATAAGTATAAGTATATTCGATAATGCTTAAACCTTTAATTTGAAATAGATTTTACCAATATTGGAAGCTGAGGTCACACAATTGGGAATTTTTGCCATAATAGCAGCAGGTATAAAAGAGCATTTTGTGTTTGGCCACAATGTACACGAAGTATCCTCTGCTGTGGACAGAGAAACGATTCTTGCAGGATCATACTGTCCTCGGTTCTATACGACAGAAACAAAGGCTGATTTAGTGGTAAAGATTCGCAAATATGTATTGCAAAATCAATCTGATTTTTATCACATAAGGTTTATATGCGTATATCGTGAGAGTTGATAAATTGATTAACAATTTTGTTCTTCTGTAGGTGATTCCAATCGAGAGATCTGTGATTGATGATTCTAAAACTTCAGACATAGAGGATTCATCTTTACTTGTCTCAGCAAGCGCTCTTGTTGTCGTGGATCTTCTGAATGATCCTCCTCAGCCTCTGACACTTTATATTCTTTGCAGCAAGCCCAAATCGAGGCCATGGACGGCTTCGATGACATCACGGATCGGTACATCTGAATCCGGTTATTTATCAGGCTCGCGTATTGTTTCCAGAGCAAAATCAAGGGAATCGATCAACCATTTTTTAGGTATTTTTTGACTGGTATACATTAATTGTAATTTGATGTATTTATGAATTTACATTTCTATTTAAATAAATAATAGTAAATTTTGGTATCTTTGCTTTATGAATTATCAGGAAAGTAAAGTTTGACTCAATAACGACGTGACTTTGGTGGATATTTAAGCATTTACAATTTTAAATTAATTCTTTAGACTGATGAATTTCCTGTTTCTATTTTATATGTAGAATGTTGGTACGATTCAGACAACTACCTTGTACGGTTGGGAGGAGGATGTTTAGGTGTTAAGAGTATGCTTCTTCAAAAGAAAGATCTTACTAAGGATGATAAAATCCAAGTTACGCTTCATGAAAAGCACAATATGTAAGGCACTTCTTTTTGCTGACTTTTATCTAAGAATAGGCTGATGATATAATTGATATTTAATTTGCTTGATAAAGACTCTCTCTCTTTCATATATACATATATACATACATATACGTGTATATATATATATATATATATATATATATATATATATATATATATATATATATATATATATATATATATATATATATATATATATATATATATATATGGGTTGGGGGGGGGGGAGGTATTCAAATCCTGTTACATTACACTCGGTGATATGACCTCGAAATTATAAGGAGAAAATCGTTCATGAATTTATCTGGGAGGAATAATGTATTTAGAACAATTTGTTAAAAAAAAAAGCCCAAACACTTCATCGTCCGCACAACTGTCAAGAATTTGTTTGGCAAGTGCTCAAATCCTGTGCTGGTCCATCTCATTGCACATCAGACTATTTGATTCTTCTTATGTGACAACACAAAGAAATACATTTCTTAACAACTTATTTTCTAGGTACTTAATTGTTGAAATGAAAAAAGAAGCTAGGCGTCCAGACGTCAATAGTGTTGTAGTTAACCTTATAAAAACACTTAAAGAACATAGGATATATGTTTGCGTGGCTCAAAGACGAGATGACCCCAAACACATTAGAGTGTCCTGTGATCTCAAAACAAAGGTCACTACGCGGATGATGAATCGGCTAGAAAAAGACCACAACATCAGAAGAACCCTCATTCATGCTAAGGAGGGTGATGTCATCAGTTTGAGTTTGCGTGGCAACATTACGACCATTCCTAAGAGGAAAAGAATATTTAGATTTTACGCCATGAATGGGTTTGTTGCTGATTGGGAAATCCAGGTTGTGTATCCATACTGTCAACGATCTCTGAGGGAGTATTGTGGATTTGTTCAAGTGGCAGTTTGCACAAGCGACAGCTTCGAAGATGCCCCAATCTCGGGGTATGAGGAACATGTCAAATGGAAACTTTTGACTGAAGTCCCTGTGACATTACCAAAAGATAGTTCCTTGTACAGTTGTGAAAGAAATTTAAAAGCAAGGCTGTGTTTAACTTATAAAGGTAAATATACAATTGAACGTTAAGAATTAATCTGTTTAAAAACCGAAAATAAGAGCCGTTTAAAATTAGATATATCATAACTTTTTTTTCTGAATATGCTCTTTAAAGTTCATTGTTCTTGGGGATCCATTTGACCATTACCAAGCAAAATACATGTACATTTACTACATGTAAGTGTAGTACAATTTATCATTCTGTCATTCATTGAATTGGAAGAGGTTCCTGACTAAAGAGTCACAATTCTTACAGAAATCTAGATTCTAGTTCAAGGATGTTTTTAATTGATAAAGAGATAAATTTTATTAATATTTCATGTCTCCTGGAATTCTACTGATATAAATGTATACTGTTTCTGTACTTATACAAGTGGTTTTGTATTATATTGGTTAGACACAATGGCTTGAGTGTAAATTCACAAACACCGTATGCTTATATACAAATATATTTCTTGGCCAAATAATTTACGATTGCACCAAATAGGCCTTGGCATATACTTGTGCTTAATTTTGAATATGTCACGTTTAATGGTCACTTGACTGAACATATCTGTATGGAAAATATTTTGTATTTTCTCTTAAAGGTCCAATTACCATTGAGTTTCTCCGATCACTTGCCAGACTAATTGGAAAGGAATGGTACAACTTAGCCAGAGGTCTTCGCCTTGAGCATGTGAGAATACAGTCCATTGTACAGCAAAACAAGAGGTGTTCTTTAGAAAGTCTTGTGTACGATATACTGCTCACCTGGTTAAAAAGATCCCGCCACTGCAGTGATAAGGTATGAGAATGTAGACAAACTAGTACCAATATTTGTGAAATATTGGAAAAACAGAACAGAGTGTTAAAAAGCATTGATTTTCTACTCTAAAGTTGGATAAATTAAAAATCTTGAAAAAAAGAGTGTTAAAGAATGAAATGTTAAGATAACGAACAGTGATCACGTTCAAAAGTCCAAATAAACAATACAAAGTGTGAGGAGAGGCAACACCGATCTCTGAAATAAGATATGGGATCAGGTGCTATGTAGAAGTAGGCATCCCCTGTCGACCGGGAACACTCGACGTCATCATGTGCCCCTTGTCTTGTTCAAGTTCCCGCCGAAATATGGCTGAACTCGGCGTTAAGCAACACCGATCAATCATGTTCGAGTAACCGGTAAAAATCCATAGACAATTTAGTATGAAAATAATGGCTAAGCAATTTGAAAAACATTAATCAACATTTGACTTAACAATAAATTGTTTTTGCTCATAAGATCATTGTACCGACCATAGAATTTGCAGAATGTTGACTTTAAACGAGATTGTTGATGTCTTATTTGCCGAAAGGTTGCTTCGTTTTAGAAATTTTATAAACGTAGAATATGTTCTTGCCTATTACAGTAAATCAATTGAATAAGCTCTATATGCAGGTAATAATGATATATTGCTACATGAATAAGGGAAGTTTTCGATAGGAAAGCTGACTTCATCACGTTTTTCATAAAGTTTAGTAAATACTTGACCCTTCCTGTCTTTCTCAAGTAAAATATCGAAGTATGAAACAGATGTATCAGATTCTTTGGTGTGAGTTCAAAGAGCTATATCAAATCAACGTAGGATTGAAAATGAATATTGCTAATTGATAGAACGTTGTCGATGTATCCCAATGTGGAACATCCTCGCAAGCCAGGGGTCCTGAGTCAACACGTTGCCGTTGGACCCCTGGCATATTTCATTCAATATTTGTGGACTGACTGTAGCGACATCTTTCGGAAAAATTACAAATCTTAATTGTTTTTCTTATCTCTCAACCAATCACATTAAGCCATTCTATGATAAACAACTTGTAACACGTGCATTTGAGGTGTCAATGTGAATCCTTATCTAACTATTTTTGAAAGCTTTAATTTGATTGGTGCTTCTCAATGAGAGAAGCAAGCCCACAAATATTGAATGAAATATGCTAGGGGTCCAACGGCAACGTGTTGACTCAGGACCCCTGGCTTGCGAGGATGAATGTGGAATGAAGGCCACAGCAAAGGACTTCTTCATTTAATGTAGAGGTTTTTTTTTTTAAAAAAATATGAATTCTTCTTCATATGAATACAAAAAAAGTCTACTTATAACGAGGCACAATAAGTACCCATGATAATTCTGACTGATTTTTGGAAGACCTGGTCTCCAAAAACTAAATAGATTTTGTAAATAGGAAACTCAAGAATTTTTTTTAAACAGATCTTGTATTAAAGACCATTTTTTTTAAATAATGGAATCATGGTTTGTACATAGTTGACGAAATCAAATTCTTGACAGTAAGTGTTGAACAAAAGATTAAAAACATTCCATATTTTCAACCACAGGACACCCAAAGTGAAAGCATGATTTAAAGAGTCATTTATCAAAATAAAGGTGCATTTGAATACATTATTTTCTTAATTTGTCTAGTTTGTTGACTTGACATTGTATTTTTAAGGCTGTGAATCTGGCATCCGCTTTGAAGAAGAGTGGGAGGATCGATCTCGCTAAAGAAATCAGTGACATGGATAGGTCGTATAAACGTGACTATTACAAAACTATTAACGGTAATGACCACTTTTCATTAGCTACTATTGTCTCTGACACACATTATATATTCAAAGTACAGTAGAGTATAGTAAAACACGACAATATTTTGCAAATGACAAGGAAATATTAGGTTAATTATAGTTAGTATCGTTATTTGTTTGAAATCTTGCATATTCGATGGTGCTAGCGGTCACATCACAAATTGTTTCAAAGCAGCTTGCAAGTTATTTCCATTCTATTATTATGATTATTATGATTTATTTCATTATCAACATGGTTAATTGATTTTGATTGAATTAGTGATGAAATTAATGGAAGAGCCCTATTTCGCAAATGGCCACAAATGATTTTTCAACACCTGTGAATTCAGATTTTTTTATATGAGAAATCATTATGCCTATGCAACAATCTTGACAAGCAGTTGCTACCCGACTTCTTGACCGTTGAAATTCAAGTCAGCATCACCTCTGGTCTCTTGAAACTTTGCCACCTTTATGGTGACGATAAAATTGCCTAGCTACCTGTGATTTTTTTATATGTATGAATAAATGGAAAAATACTTGTTATCAAAAATTGAAACTTCTTATGGTAACAAAAATAGCGATAAAAGCAGAGAATTTTACTGAAACCGACCTCTTTTTTGCTGTAACAAACTTGTATCATACCAATGGGTCTCCCACGCTTCTCTGCAAGCATTCACTGCATTTTATTCGAACCTTTTTTTTTTTTTTGGTAAAAGAACAGTTTAAAGAACCAAAACAAAAATCAAAGAAATTTTTTTTCTACAATAGACTAGCACGATGTTTCCTTTCACGATAAATTTGTCAATGTTCAATAGATTTTTCAGCCATTTCGATACTCTTGTGTTAAATAATTATGTAGACTGATAGAAGCATAGTGTAATTTTTTTTTGTATCGTACTGCCGTATAAGACAAAGGCTATTGAAAAAATAGAGTTACGGGTTAGAAGTTTGATTAGTATATAAGTCAGGAAGAAGAATCTTGATGAAAACTTTATATATATTTATTACTTTTATTATGAAATGGATGCTTATTTACATTATTTCTAGAAATTTCTCATTTATATAACCATTCATGCTGAACTCACAGAGAGACGACTAGACAAGGCCATACATCTTGCCAGTAAAAGTCATGCTGTAATTAAGTCATGGAAACATGTTGGTTCCTACCTTCAATTGAGTGAGGAAGATATTGTAGAAATAGACGCTACTGAATCCAACGAATTTCAGAAATGCGAGAGAATGCTGAAACTGTGGCAGAGCCGAGGACAATCTCACCAAGGACCACAAATGCTGATTGTACTTCTGAAGAAGGCTGGTTTTTGCTATGTGGCAGGTATGGCCAATAAGTTTAAGATTACATCTACTACATTTAATTTAATATGGAAAATATTGTATATGGAAAATAGAGTTGAGATCACTACAAAGATGAAAATTTCTTTGAAGATAGGAGAGAGAAAAAAAATACTATAGTAAACTATAATTTAGTATTGTTAACTATAGTTTAATATAGTAGCAAAGTCTTTACTATAGTAAATCAAAGGATTTGAACTATGGATTTCAGATTGTTATATGTTATGTTCTCCAAGTCGTACATGACTTTGTTTTTATTAAATTGAACTACTACTTGTATATTCACACATCATTTCCAAATTTTACTTAACTGTTATTGAATTTAAGAAATTTTAAGCTTTGAAATCTCAAAAAAAAGTTACTGAGTAAAATTTCATAGTAAATGAAAGTATCAAAGTTTTACTGTAGTTCTGTAGTTAAGTATAGTAAACTATAGTTAAATATACCGGTAGTTAACTTACGAGTAGTTATAAGCGTGTTTTACTGTACTTGATATAGAACATTTAAAAATCAATAATTTTGTAATATAGAAAATAAAGATAATTTCAAGAATATTTTAAGTCTTACACAATACTAAAACAACGTATGATAAGTCCACTTTTCAATTTTCTAGTATTCTGTTTGTGTTGAAACACAACTGCTTATAAACTACGTCCGATGTAGACACGGTATTATATTTTGTGGTTACTTTACTATAACAACTTGAGTGACTCCGGTATTTTGACAAATTTTTCAGTGTATAATTCATACTGGAGAAAACAAAACCAAGCATTTTCTTTTCAGATCATATCGCCGTTGCTACCAGATGGAGACCGAAAACCAGTATATAGATTAGGAACAAGAATATAAGCAGTTGCTACCAGAAAGAGACCCAAAACCACTGTATAGGTTTTGAAGAAAGCAACATACACGTATTGTTGTAGATATATTCTTAGATCTGAAATATTATTGAGCAATGAAGGGGCAGCACAATAAAAGTCGTATAAGTTTTTATCGCATGATTAAAAGAAGGAGAGTTGTGTTTCCTTTGATAATATACACATATGGAATTTTTTGTGTTCTTCCTATTAGACTTAAAATGAGAAAGCTTGTCCTCAGCCGTTTATATTTTTTAGTTGATCGAATGTTTGTTTATATACAGTATATATTATTAAATGACAAAAGAGAACGAGACTTTAAAAAATTCCTTCTCGTACTATTTTGTCCTGAATAGAGTCATTTTTTCTACTAGCTTAAATCCTCCAAGTAACCACGTTGCAATAAATCATTACTTGTATAATTAATTTTGTAATGTAAGATGGAGTGCTGTTTCCTTCTATAGACATTACTTTTAAATAGGCACAAAACCTTGAGGTTGATATATTCTGGTTAATTTTATCTGACATCTTTCTACACAATATATTTTGTAAGTTTTTGTAACTGTTCAAGTATTCTATCAAATTTTAAAGTGCACTCATTTAAGTAATGTTGAGTCATGTTCTTTAGTTTTCTTGAGGACATTTTATATCTTTAAATAGCGCAGACTACAACTTCTTTTTATGTATATATCTTAACAAATGATAAAATAAAGAAAAATCTATAAAGTAAAAAAGGTAAAGAAAAAAAAGGGGAGATTAATCTAGAAAAAATGTAAATAGTACGAGCAGGATAAAAACACAGACTCCTGAAAACACTAGTGGTGGGTTAAATGCCTACGAGCAAAAAACATCCCGTCGACCTTTTTTGAGCCCTTTCTCATGATCAGGTAAAGGAAGTAATCGTAGTTAAAATTGATATAAAATACAGACCCTAAAACGTGCTACTACACCACTTGCACGGTTCGTTTCGTTTTGTGTACGGTTCGTTTTGTGAACTGTACGGTACGCTTTGTGAACGGTACGGTTCGCTTTGTGCATGGTACGGTACGCTTCTTGCACGGAACGGTTTAGCTCGAGAACTGTAGCTCTCTGGTTGAGAAAATTTGGACAGATAAACCAGAGAGCTACAGATCCAAACATTGTAAAAACCGCTTTTTTGTCGCTCGCTTCGGGTATTATTTCTTTTATTTTATGCGTTCCACCGCTTCAAACATGGTACCTCATAATAAATTATATATTATACTCCCATTCCTGACACTTTAATTACCTTTTAACGGCTCCAAACGGTCGTATGTTGTCTTGAAGTATCATTTTAAAAACTTGCATTCCGAGCTCCACGTTGGTGTTATGCTAAAAATAACACGCCCGATCGGTTTTATTTATCTCATTTTTTTAACATACATATTGTCTTATTTATAGACAAGTGAATATACATGATATTTGAGCCTCCATATATTTTTATTCACATTTTTCTCGGCAAATGGACGTTCTTTTAAAAACTATTTTTTGGCACGACTCCCAACATGGACGCCGGGATGGGAAATTTTTAATTTTAACCACATAGGGCCATTTGGAACCGTTGAAAGGTAAATAAAGTGTTAAGAATAGGAGAAAAATATATGATTAATTATTGGATACCATTTGTGAATTGGGAGAACGCATAAAAGAAATAATACCCAAAGCAAGCGACAAAAAAAGCGACAGCGTAAATCGAAGATTTTTACAATGCTTGGATCTGTAGCTCTATGAACGGTTCGTTTTGTGAACGGTATGCTTTGGTGAACGGTATGTACATTAAGTGGACGGAGCCTGTATATGATTGGCCTTAATAAAGTCGTTTATTTCTTTATTAAATCTTCTTATTTTATATAAATGAAAGGACGGTGTCGCAAGCATTTTTAACAACTTGTTTTTAAGTTAAAGCTGTCATAACTATTTCCTTTTTAATGTTGTATCTTCGTTATTATATGTAACTAGTAGACGTAGATATGTTTTTTGTTCGAAATTTCCTAATTGAATAGAATTATTTTTTTAAATTTATACTTATCACACTTTTAAACAAATGAGTATGATTTTATTAATCCCTCATGCTTTTATTTCGTCTATTATTCTTTTTTACGTTCTTGTCGCTGTTGCTACAAATAAAAATAACATTTTTTCTCTTGACCCTTTCTCTTGAACTTTAATTCATCTTTATATTTTTGACAGTATGTTTTATTGGCGATGACATCGAGGGTTGGCCAGAGGAGTGTAAACCAACACTTATATATATATATATATATATATATATATATATATATATATATATATATATATATATATATATATATATGCAAATGTTTTCTCTTATATAACACTATTGAAAGCAACGCGTATCTATATCCGTATAAACACGGGTTCCTCGCGTCATAAACGTTCGACGTAATTTCTCAGTGACGTCATAAAGGGTCGACGCGCAAACAAATACGCCGTTGAGTTTGAAAAATAAAACATTTCACGCGTTAAAGATTATAGTCAGGAAAATATAAAATATGAATAAGTCATAAATGTAAATATAAGTAATAATGTATCATTTTTAAACATCTATCGGGATATAAATACGGGTTGGTATGAGATCAAATTTACGATAAAGCCCTTCGGGCTTTATGGAATTTGATCTCGTGACCAACCCATATTTATATCCTGATAGATGTTTAAAAATGATACATTATTTCTTATATAAATCCAAAAATAAATTCACAAAATATTTACTGCAAGCGCTTTCGCCATGTTAGTTATACAAATGTCAGGAATGTTACCTGGTAACGTCCAAAAGCAAAAGTTTATTGTGACGCCATAATAGATCAAGGTAGCGTAAAGTTACCGTATTAGATAATGTACAAATATTGCATTAACTTGAACACATAATATACATAAAATCTTACAATATGTTATAAAATAAAGTATCATTTGCGATTAAGCTTTGGTTTAAAGAGTTTGATTAAGTAGTCCTCTTTTTCCAAACGCAGATTTTCATTTTCATCGGGAAGTTTATAAAAAGGGAAAATCCTAAATATTCCTTTGCCGCATTTTGCAAAATGTTCACAACTTGGTGTATTACGCACACTAGGGTCTTTAATTTGTTGTTTTTTTATACGAACCCGGGCATTTAGTTTACCCGTTTGTCCAATATAGAATACTTTACACGTTGGACAGATTGCAGATAACGTTTTCGGATTTACAGTTCATTGGTGAGTTGGTTCTAATTTCCATTTCTGATTTAAGTTGGATTCTATTTCCCTCTTCTAAATATGTACACGTTCCGCATCTTGGATCTCCGCATTTTTTAATGGTTGGAATTTCCTCCTGTGTAGTAAAACGGGCCTTGGTTAACAATTTTTTAAGATTGGGTGCCTGTCGTCAACTATTGATAATATCATTTGGTTGTATTAAACTTTTCATATTTTCCGATTGTTCTAAAATTGGGTAAAATCTTTTAACGTCCATTAGGATATTTCTGTTTCGTGGGTTATGGGACACAACAAAGGCTATTTTCCCGTCTTCGGTGGTGTCATCTACACGGCGTGGATTTCAAAGGTTCTCTATTGGAATTTGGGACGCCTAGTCTATTCCAGCGTTGATTAAATCAATTGGATAGTTTTGTTGTCGTAGATATATTTTTAATTCCTCCAAACGTCTAGAACGCAGGGTTCTATCTGTAATAATTGTACAAATTCTTCGTGCTAAATTAAACGGGATATTACGTTTTGTGTGGGATGGGTGGCACAATCTAAAATCCAAATACTGATGCGTATCCGTTGGTTTACAGTATACACGCTTGGACCAAGAGTGAAGAAGACTTAAATAAATTTCATTCACTTCTTAATAACCTCCATGATTCTATACAATTTACAATAGAAAAAAGTCGTTCGGAACTTCCATTTTTAGATCTTCTTATTATAAAGAATGGATCCTGTATAACTACAGACTTATACTGTAAACCTACCTGACATTTGTATAACTGCCTGAAGAGCCAAACATTGCGAAAGCTCTTGCAGTAAATATTTTGTGATTTCTTTTTTTTTTTTTTTTTTTTTTTTTTTTTTTTTTTTGATTTTTATTTTTAATACACCCAACAAAACTGTACCGGTTCTTCATTTTGTTTTTGAAATTATATATATATTTACATTTCCAAATATTTTTCCTTAATATTCTTTGCAAATTAAAAGGCTGTTCATTTTCTCATGAACTACCATGGATGAGCATGAATATATCCATTGTTACGTCATGATACCGTGCATGACGTCAAAAGTATAGTGCAAACTGTTTTGCTTTAAAAATGACCGTTGGATGGCGTAATTTGTGGAAACTCATCAGAAAAATAATGTAAATATAAGAAATGAATTTAATTTTTGAAAATTCATGAGGTACATGAACTACAACGCTTCACGCCGGCATATTTATCATGAAGCGCTAACGCGCTTCATGAAATATGCCGGCGTGACGCGTCGTAGTTCATGTCCTCATGAATCTTCAAAAATTAAATTCATTTCTTAAATATCTCCCAATTTATTCATTACTCAAGAACATGTTCTGAGTACGATCAATTTTTAAAGGTTAATGACAGATAAGTTGATGTTACAGGGATTTCATCAAAGTCAGCATTTTGTAAGTTCTATGGTCTTTATAATGATTTTGTTTGCAAATACAACCTTTCACTGGGTCGTATTTTGAGTGCCATAGTTCATACCAATTGTTAGGCCTTTATTTTCATACTAAATTTGACTACGGATTATTCGGTCTACTTGATCAATACATAGAGTTCATGGCGGGTGTGACCGGTCGACAGGTGAGGCTTTTATGTACTCCTCCTAAGCACCTGATTCCACTTCTGGAATTTCCAGGGGTCCATGTTTTATACCCTGATCACAGATTTGTATTGTTTGTATTATTATTATTATTTTTTTTTTTTAGATCGCTCACTATTCGTTATCTTCACCTTTTTCATTGTACAAAGTTTTGAAAAAGGATACGATTTGATGCTGTTGATTTTGGAAAAGCATTTTGATGTCAAGCTTCTTCAGGTTCTTTGGATTTTTTTTAAATATACATTTGATTTCAATCATATCTTGCATATGGATTACATCTGACATTTCTCATTAACGGCAGTAAATATTTCTGATATAGGTTGGTATGACACTTTACTAGACACTGCAATTTTTTGTTAATTGGTACGTTTTCTGAATATTATTATTTTGTACGTACCGTTTGACTATTTTATCAAACCATAAAAAGCAATGGAATTTATTATGCTTATATGCATTAAACTAACAAAAATGGATTTAAAATTTTGATGCTTTCAAGAACACATATTATTATGCAATTTACAGTTTTTAACAAGTAATGCACACAACAGCAATTAAGATTTTATAAATAACGTCTCATATCTCAATTTTACAGAAACATTTTTCATACTAAGTTATGCACATGACAACTTACCAAGGTCAAAGCAGAGAAGGAAATTGGATGCTAATTAGATTTAATGTTCAGTGTTTTATACAAGAAATGCAAATTACGGAAGATAAGTCGTTGATATCACCACTAATGAATTACAGGGACAACATGAACAGTTTCTTTCACTCATGAATTGACCTCACACAAATATAACCTTTAACCTTATTGCAGAGAAACATATTATAGGTTTGAAAGGAAATCAAAATGAGATAACAATAAAGAAAAAGTTTAAAATTAATGATCAAATGAGGCATTATTTTCTAAGCTTTTGTATCAATGTTTTATCAAGATCAGAATTAAACCATTGACGGTAGCGAAATAGCATTTTGAAAACAAACAATTCTAGGAGATTATCAAATACTAGCATTATGTGACAAATGGAAGTCCCTTATACTAAACACTTAAATAAAATAAAGATTAATATGTAAAAGTAGCATTAAGGACGCAATTGACAGATAGATAATTTTAATTTATTTATTAAAAAACATCTATTAAAAGCATTAATGAAGATCGATTGATAAAATAAACATGTACATGTGTTTGGATTTCAAACAGAATCACGTCAAATTGTAGGAGTGGCATTTTGAAAGAATTTTTAAATATTATTGTAAGTGTGATAACTAAACCAATACTGCTCCTTAGAATAAATTTCTATACATTATTATCTTTCCGTAGTCCACTTGTTTACCAAAATTTATCGAAATCATTCCATAACTATGACAACTGAATACGAAGAAGTAGCATTTCATGGTCACATGAATAACTCGGGTGACCTGTTGATATCTGTTTACTTTCGCCGTTGTTTTGAAAATTTTACATTTTCTTTATTTTGATTTTGGATTTCTGACACTGTTTGCTATGTCAACCAGACTTGTCGCTGAACATCTTCAAATGTTTGAAATACTATTAATAAAATTATAACAAAGTAGTGAAAGTAGGCTTGGGTTGTTCAGAAACCTTTTTAAGAACCTTTTAGAGAGGAATACCAAAGAACTGTACATAGTGAAAATTTCTACTTTTTGAACCATGGTCACAGGGGTGAGGATCGTTTTGAGAAAATCTTAGAAACGCATGAAGGCTATGTAGCAACCGCTAATGATAAAACGCCGCTTAATGAGAGAAATATCGTAGTAATGCAACGCTCAATGTCATAAATTATTGCATTAATAGTTGACATTCTCATCTGCTTAATGATATGATTCTTTCATAAAGCGGCGATTTAGCATTAGCGGTTAAGATTGTTCATCTATTAATGCAACAATTTATGGCAATAAGCGTTGCAATTGCAACGCTTAATGATATTTCTATCATTAAGCGGCGTTTTATCGTTAGCGGTTCTGCAAGTCTTAGTATTATTAAATGAGTGAAATATGAAGGTAATGAACAGTTACGTTTCAATTAACGTCCATTTCTAGTTACCTATCCAAATATAAAACCGATGAATATGCAAGCATCCGCTTGTGGTGTAGATCCAATGAACATAAGAGAAAAAGGAACGAGGCATAGGAAATGCGATAAAATAGAAGTTAAATTTATTTCTTTGCTTAGTGCTTTATTTGAGCTTACATTATCAATGAGGTTTAAAATTGCTATAAACAGTGTTTTATTTTTACAGGAAAATTCTTTTGACAAACGCAATTCTTGCATAATAAGGAATCAATTACAAGTGGTTTTCATTGAGATTGCCCCCCCCCCCCCCTCAAAAAAAAAAATATCGATTTGTTATCAGTGAGACTGCCACAGGGGATCTAAACTCAAATCGGATTTTTACAAAGGAGTAGATTAGAATGAAGGACAGATTATGGCTAAATATTATTAAAGAAATGCCCTGTGATAACATGTCATTCTGATTTCCAACTCTCATGTGTTTCTTACTTTTTCAAATCTTACATAATACAAACAAATTAATTAAAATAAGTCAAGGCTGCACGTGCACAGAGCGACAATAAATTTGTTCTGTTCATTGAACGTAAAAGCAGTTAGAGCATCACTTGACTCCTACAAGGACGTCTGGGGCAGTATGAATTCTCGGATCATTTTCGTATCTATGATATTCCTAGGCCTCAGTCTATCCTTTGTTTCCGCTGGTCACCAGAAGAGAAAGACGGATAAAGGAAGTAAAATATCTGCTTTCCTGCGTAAATTAATTAGGATAATTACAGAACACTATTCACACAAACGGACTTTTTCAAGGTCCAAAGAAATGCCGATATATTCAGAAGGTACGTAATTCAGAAAAAAAAAACAGGAAAAAATGTCAAACAGAAATATCAGTACTTAGTTTTAGAGGCCATTCATTTTTCATTATCTTTAACTTGCTTATTTTTGCTGTATTGAAGTTCTTATTGTAATATGCAAGAAAGGCTTATTTAATGTCTATTTCGAGCTTTATAGAATGATTAAAGCTAGCTTGCGTTGCATATTGTTGTACCTTATATTTTGGATAGACGTAATATCATACTCTTTTTTTTATTTGTTTTTAGAAAAAAACGGAGAAGATGACGAGGACATATGTAAGTTAGTCTTTCGTTAAGAACAAATTGTGTAATCTTAATTTTTTGTTCAATTATTTGAAAAAGTCCTTTTACTTGTTAATCATATTAAGCTTTAAACTTTTATAGTATTAATTTATCTTAGATAATAAGATTTATATTGTTAGGGAAAAAAAATTCACAGTTACACATTGTTGGATATTTACACATGCCACCTGGCCTTTTTGTGAAATCAGTAGTATAATTATTGCCACATGTACATATAAAATATATGCAAATAAATCATTTTCTTTAATTTAAAATAATTAGATTGGCTTTGAATCTATAATGCTTTGAGAGTTAGGGTAATTAATAAACAACATAATGACAAATCAAAGGAGTTTCTCAAATTCAACTGTAATTTTATTTTAATGTAGTCCTTTGTAAAATAAACCAGTAAGGAATTTTACTGCTTACAGAAAATTGTCATTTTTTAAGCCATTGGCAGGCAAGATTGTATAGTGTGAGATTTGCATGATGACATATTATCACACTTAAAAATCTTTTTTCTCAAGAACAACTAGGCCAGAAGAAATGAAACTTCCAAACACAGCTTGCATGTAGATCCAAGTTTGTTTCAAGTAATTGTCCCCTTAGATCTACCGGAGCATGATTATTCAAAAATAAAAAAAAAAATAAGTAAGATCCTCAAGTAGTGCAGACCTAGTTTGTTCAAATTATGGCTCCAGAGCGGAGGTAGGTCCCAATATGGAGTACAAAATCATTTTATAAATAAAATGGGAAAAATCTTTAAAAAAAATCTCCTCTCAAGAAAAACGGAGCTAATCTGACTTAGATGAGCGTTTGGGCTCATACATCTAGGTATTGTTTGTTATCAATTGCATATCATATTAACAGATAGAAACATAATTGTTCATGACTTTGCAGATGATTCTTGTCTTTTGCAGTTGATACATTTTGTTCATTATGTGATGAGATTCAAGATCCAGATGACCGTCAAGACTGTATTGCCACCAACTGTGCAGAAAGATGAATGATTCTATGACAGTTTTAAATGTAATTACACTTATTACAGTTTGAAAAATAAAACCATTTTCATGCAATCCCCGAAAAATGATGAAAAAGCTTTGTTTAGACATGTGATTGGTAATCGAATTTTTAACAAGTAAATCAAATATGAGTAAAAGTGTGTTTTGTTGTAAAAATGTTTTAACGGACCATCCCTGACCCTTTTATGTTTTTTAAAATATAATTTGTATTCCATACGAAGAGAACAAAAAACAATCCTCGCTTATCAAAACATGAAAGTATTCTCTTCTGTATAAGACGTGAATGTTTTTAATAATTCACCTAAAAATTTTAAATTCTCACCATTGAATATGAAAGAATTCATAATTGCTAATTATATGATACCTAAAAAAAAGGCCCCAAAAGAAAATAAGTACTGTGGACTAATCAGGTTACTTTTTTCTAAATTGAGCTTAATTATTTAAAGATAGTTAGATAGCACTTTAGTAATTACATTGCAAATGTGTTCTCTTATAACATTGATATGTGATTAAAATTTGATCACGTGACCAATCCGTATCAATATCCCGATAGATGTTTAAAATTGAAACCTTATTTCTCAAATATATATTATTCATTATTAAACACAGAAGTAGGTTTGGAACCATTGGTTTATTTTGCTTGATTAATTGTTTAATTATCAATATAGTAGATAGTGCTGAACATGGGGGGGGGGGGGGTTAAACTTCAGTGGTTTTCGTGTCAGGACTGTCATTACTTTGCAATTTTGCAAATTTTGAATTTATTATTCAAGACATAATCATAAAGCGCTTTGAGCATTGTGTCGTCCACCGTAATGCCAATGTTAAGATGGAAGATACAATAATTTTAAGGAAATAGTAGAGCCATGAACAACGTATTTAAATCTTCCATTATGTAGTGACGAAAAGCTAGGAATTTTATTCTCGGGTTTAAAACATTACTGATTTCTGAGAACCTGCGACAAAACAGAGTCCAAGTTTCCTTTCTTGCGCAGGTAAGACGACAAAACTTCAAACTGAGATAATGTGTGTTCAAATGATAAAATAAAACACATATGATTTCCCAGACTCTTCTACACTAAAGAGTGCGCATTCCAGTAAAAAAAAACTGAGATAGTTGCTGGCGTTCGCAAAAATATATGTATATATATAATTTGCTGTGGCCTTCAACTCGACATTTAGATATAAAGACCACGTATTGTCAATTAACAATGGTTATTTCCATTCTTATGTCGCCACGATATATCTCAGTGAGTTTGAGATAAAAGATACCACAGAGTCTGACACACCTGTTTCATATTTGGATATTTTATTAGAAAAAGACGTTAATGGCAATCTTACAACAAAGCTTTATGATAAACGTGATGACTTTAACTTTCAATCGCCAACTTCCCTAACTTATGCAGCAATAAACCCTTATCCACTGCATACGGTGTTTATATCTCTCAGTTGATTCCACACGCCAGAGCATGAACAATTTCTAAAACGAGGTAAGTTATTGACAAAGAAGTTGATGAAATAAGAACATAAGCAGTCTCGCTTAAAGTCATCATTTCGTAATTCTATGGTCGGTACAATGACCTTGTCAGCAAATACAATCTTTCATAAAGTCAAATGCTGACTGAATTTTATCATACTAACTGTTAGGCCATTATTTACACACTGAATTGTCGACGGATTTTTCCGTTATTTCCTGATCATGACAACGAGCACACGGCAGATGTGACCGGTCGGCAGGGGATGCTAACTCCTCCATGGCACCTGATCCCACCTCTGTTGCCTTAGAGGTCCGTTTTTGCCCTGCTCCTATTTTGTAATGTTTAATGGACATTTAAGCTCGAATATACTGTTCGTTATCTCCACATATTTCATATATATATATATATATATATATATATATATATATATATATATATATATATATATATATATATATATATATATATATATATATATATATATATATATATATAAGGGGGTGTGTGTGTGTGTGTGTGTTGCATTCAAATAAACACGACTGATGAAGGCTGGTAACATGGTCGAAATATTTCAAAAAGTGTTTGAAAGTTTTTTTTTATTTTATATATGAATATGTTTTGTGTATATATATTATTATTTGTATGAAAGTGGGAGCAATGAAAAATTCGAATATATTTGGTTTTGGTACTTGAAAGTCTGCGAAACACACTCATAAGAGCATGCTTTACAGAGGAAGTATTCATGAAAAAATGCGCACAGAATAAACTGAGTATCAAACCATTGTCAAATTTTATTTTCACGCCTTACCTTTCATGCTACATGTATACAACTTAACTGGGTCATTTCAGAATTCAAATTTTCCATTTAAAGTCGTGTTAGATAATATAAATTATATTCGTGTCATTTAGAGATGAGTTTTCTCTTACATCCTCATAATTTAGGATTTTGATTATGGTACATGAACCTGAACATAACTGTTTCTCCTGAATTTTTTTTTCTGTGTAATCAGCGTTTTTTAAAAGTGACATTTATCAGCGTCAGGAATTAATTGCATTATCTTTATGAATTGCGGTGACTTCTCCAATATGCATCCTCACTATTAATGCTTAGCATTTTAAGCACAAACAGAATAAGAGCCATTTTCTCTCTTTATAGTAATGAGTCAGGAATTGGAAAGATGATATTAGTCTTGAAAGTGTTTTATCACATGCTAAATTTCTTGATATCAAACGCAATTATATTTGTATTACATTTTATTTTTCAATTTTACCGATCAAGTAGCTTAAAAAACAGTCGTAAATAGATTCAGAGTCCTCATAGTGAAAACGCCTTCTTATCAGATAGAGGGTTACTTTGACTTCATATGTATCAAATCTCGAATGGTTAAATGTAAGGAAAAATAGATAGAATACATGTTTGACCTAAAATAAATCACTTCTCCAGAATGGATGAAAGAAACTTTCCATTAGAAATATTCCTTTGTTAATGGACAGTCAACCTACACGTTTGATAATCCAGAAAAATAAAAAAAAATAACAGAAAAAAATCAGTTTTCGTTGACAAGTAGCGAGGAAAGAAAAGACAAAGCTGATGACAACCCAGAACATCGACTAAACTGAAGAATTTGTAACGTTATATCTTCTGTCTTATTTAAAGTTATGAGTAACTTAAGGTCTCGTAATCAGTATATGAAAAATTAATATTTAAATAAATTCTATATAAGCTTTATCTGTTACTTGAATATCATGTCCTCGAAATTTGAAATCTTTTACAATTCAATTCAATTAAATATCGCCGTACCCCAGTTTTCATGCAAAACTATTTATTCATGTAAAATAAAATTAGAAGCACAAAGATTCTTGGCTGGAGCGTAAATGATGATCATGAGTGGCGACACTTGCAATTTTCCTCCCGCCAGCGTCCTTGGGGAATGCGAAAACTCCTTTAAACATTCTTTTTTGTGCATATTTGTGCATTCAAACCCCCAAAATGCAACATGCTCCCTCTCAATAAACCAAGTATCACCACAATGATATCCCTGTGCTAATTGTATAATGTGTCTCTTAAGATTATTTTTTTAGCATAGAATACTAAAATTATTCATTTAATCTTTGAAAACTGCATAGATTTTTTAAGTTTAGAAGTTTCTACGTACGTTTTACTTCATTAGAATCCCTGATTATAAAAAAAAAGCAAAATAAATATCCTTAGAAGCTCCAACAATTTATTGGAAGACCTATCTCCTACGTATACTAATCTCTGCTTAGTTGAATAATTTTGTCTTTTTGCAGATACTTTATTTTGCGAGTTGTGATTTGAGATTCAAGATGAAATATGGTGATAACAAACAGTATTCAAAACTCAGAAGTCCATTCGAAAAAAAAAACCCAAACAAATCAGGAGCAGAGCAAACACGGACTTCTAAAACATCAGAGGTGGGATCAGGTGCCTTGGAGGAGTGAGAATCCCCTAACGAGCGGTCATAACCGCCGTATGCTCCTTGACATGATCGGGAGAAACGGAAAAAAATCCATAAAAAATTCAGTGGATAAAGAATGGCCTTACAATTATTATGGAAAAACGTCAGTCAGCATTGGAATTATGATAGATTGTATTTGCTGACAGGGTTAAAATATGGACCATAGGACTTGCGAAATGATGACTTTAAACGACACTTTTGATACTCTTGTTTCATCAATTTGTATGTCAATAATTTGCCACGTTTTAGAAATTGTTCGTACGTAGAGCATGCTCTTGCGTATCGAATCAACTGAGAGACATAATCCCCGTATACAGGTGATAATGGTATAATATACCATAATATTTCTACATAAGTAAGGGAATTTGACGATTGAAAAGGTGAAGCCATCTGATTTATCATAAACCTTGGTTAGGTTTCTAGTAAAATATCCAATAAGAAACAGATGTGTCAGACTCTGTAATGTGTTTTATTTCAATCTCATTTGGATATATCGAGTCGACATATGAATGGAGGTAACTATTGTTAAGGATATCCTATCCTCAGCCAGGAAGGATAACTCTTTAATTTATTATTTAATTCAAAAAGTCTCAACATGAAGCTTAAATATGAAATCTTTTCATGCAACAATTTTCATTTTATGCATCTCAATGTGATTCAAGGTTCTTTGAAGTTTTAGAAACAGTCTTTTTAAACGTTGATATTTTTACCCTATAAAGGTATGTTAAAAATACAGATTTACAGAAATCGACTTTTCCTTTAATTTAGCCTTAGATACCAATGCTAATTAGCATGATATGAAATTAGAAATGATTTATGGTGTTTTGCAATGAAAGGAAACACTTTATCAACTATGCATTATAGGTATTTGAAGTAAAGTACTGTATAAGTATAAAAATCATGCAATTTTCTTCAAATTCCTGGATACTTGTAGTTTTTAATCCTAAGATGTTTTGTTGATCAGTTTCCAATTAGAAAATGCATAGTAAGTGTCTCTTTTCAGATCAGATTTCCTGAAATTTTATTTGAAATTTACTAATTTTCCCTATATGATATGATTAACTTTAATTATAAAGTTTGGACAATTGCTGTGGGTAAATTCATGTTACTTTGAGAAATCGGAGACATTTTTGTGAGCATTTTCAATTATTCAATGCCTGATTTTCAGAACCTGAGGAT